TACCCAACCCAGAATCATTCAAGGGTATTATGGTCCTTTCACGTTAAATTTAAATATCAAGGTTCAAAAAGGACAAAATGGTAATTTGCCATAATTCAATAAATTGAGACTCCGAGGGTAAATTTGCCATTTACTTGCATCACATAATAATTAAAATAAGATCTGGGGTAAAATAGTCTTTTCGGTGGTCAAAACATAATTATTGCATTTATTTGGGTCATAAAATAATTACGTGTAACCTCACTTGGGTACCAAAGTGTAATTTAAGAATTTAAAATAGCAATTACATACGAAACAGAAACATATGAAACAGAAACTGGTCGACATATATGCTCGACTGGTTTGGGACGTGAATAGTAATGATACTCACTGCCGAGATACCGGTCGACGTGTGGGATGTACACGTCGACTGGTTTGGGAAATGTACAGTGACAACCTCTCTGCCAGGATACCGGTCGACTGATTCACACTATACGTCAACCGGTTCACGTTACACGTCGACTAGTTCATGCTACACGTTGACTGGTTCATGTTACACGTCGACTGGTTCACGCTATATGTCGACTGGTTTTGGGTTATCCACACCCGCAATTCCCACTGTCCCATATACACCAACTTTGATAACCAATCACCCAATTACCACCATTGCACGTGTACGTATTTATATACAATTCAAAACCCAATACGATAACAATATTGGTAATAAATATAAAATGCACCAAGAAGGATTTTGTGAGATTATATTTAATTGTATCTCTAAATACAAGTCCAATACATCATTTAAAGACCGAATTACAAAAGTCTCATTTTATTCAAATTTTAAAGGAATTAAATACAAGAGTAAGGCTTCTATGACTAAAATTTACATAGCTTTGGTATAAATAAAAGTGAACTCCTATCTACATTAAAATCCATGGATGTATATTATTCACCAGCTCATCTTCAATCCCTGAAAAATGATAATAAGTAAAGGAGTGAGCACAAGGCTCAGTAGAGAATGCCTAAGTGGCATCTCCTCAAGCAAGGTATATAATAACATGTTTTACGAACAATGAATAGAAACAAGAGCATGTGATCATGCAAGGGATTCACATACCACAATACCATTTTCCATAACCATCATGCTTTCATAATACAATTTTACATTTCTAAGGCCTCAATGGAATAATTTAATAATCTTGAGCATGCTTCATTATTCATATGTTCTCTAGCATATAAATATAACCAAGAATATCACAACAACAATATGAGGAAAAATATATAAAGCATCACAGAACAACTCAACAACATGTTATTTGCAATTTAAACATAAGATAAGCATCTCATCACTTAAAACACCTCCATTCACAAACTCATACACATACCAAAACTCTAAAATTTAATCATGCATTTTAGCATTTAAATTGACATGTTAAAGAGGGGGAAAAACATCCAATTAACTACTAGAACTAAGGAATTTGACAATTAGACAAACTCTACCTCAAGATAGGAACTCAAGTTCCAAGCTCCAAACTCAAATCCCACCAAAAGCTTGCAATACCCGTACCAAAACGTAGCCCTTCCAATGCTCTACAATTTGCTAATTCCGGCTTAACCTAAATCTTCATCTAGCATGAAGAAATTTTAGAGAGAAGGAAGAGAGATATAGAGAGAGAAAGAAGAAAATGGAGTGAGAAAGTTTATGGTCCGAAAAATGAAGGAAAAAGGAAAGAGATGGGCCAAATGGAGACACCTCATTGTCTCTAGAATTTTCTAGGCTACTCCATGGGGCTAAAATGACGAAAATGCCCCTAAAACTTATTTACAACCTCAACATTGCCACAAGATACCTCCTTCCATATAATACTATTAATACAAATACATACATGTATATAAATACACATACACATGTGAAATGCCGATAACGCCCCTCGGGGCCCGCGTGGCATGCAAAACGAGGCAATGATTAAAATAATCCAAAAAAATCAAATAAATTCAGAAAATAGGAAAAATCGGTAATATTACAGTACCCTGTTTTATCTTCTTATCTCAGTTAGGGGTGTCAATTTGTGTTCGCGGGTCGTAATCGTGTCGTGTCGATTTAAGGATATTTTATTAAACAACTCAACCCGAACACGACCCGTTTAATAATCATATCAGGAACCCTCAAAACTAACCCGACCTGTTTATTAAACGAGTTACACGTGTAACCTGTTTAATGACCTATTTAATAAAATCAAATATTTTATTATTTAAATTATTAATAATATTCGATCAAATATTAAATACTACAAAAGTATAATTTTCAATACAACCAAATTACTAAATAATCTCTAATCTACAAAAGAATAAATTATAAGATATAAGTTTAGATATTTATTTTGGAACTTAAGTAGAAATTTGTTTATGACACGTATAGTTAAACGAGTATAAACGAGTTATACGAGTTGAATTCCTCAACCCAAACACGACACGATTAACAAAACGGGTTAATCGTACCATTTACGATTCGAATCCGTTTAAGGTCAACACAAATCCATTTAATTCGTGTCGTGTTCGAGTCGTATTGACAGATCATGTCAAACTTTGCCACCCCCAATCTCAGTGCTTTTCAAGAAGGCACATAAACCTTAAGAAAAGACCCAAACTCAAACTAATACTGGTCAATACTCTTAATCCCTTGCAAGAACAATCAATCAAAACAATCCATAATATGAATATAATTTCAAGTTCTATAATTGCAATTTGTTCAAAAGCTCTATAGATTATCTTAAGTGGTTGGACACAAAACGTGTTTGTTCAGGAATCACTATCATTGCTCACATTGATTGCAAAGATCACAACCAAAAAATATGAAAATTAGGAACTTTGAAAGGGGTATTTAGGATATTCAATTTTAAATAGTTACTAGTTGATAATTATTTTTAAGTTTAGTATCTTTTTTTTTTCTTTTTTTGTGAGTTTAAGGAACATTTTTTTTTTTCTTTTTTTGTGAGTTTATATCACCAAAATATAATTTTCTGTTAACAATAATATGATCTAAATTAAGAAATGCTTGGTGATCATAAAGGAATGAGTTTTAGGAATATGTTTCACCATAAGAGAGAGAGAGTGAGCCCAACCACCCAGACATGGATCATCCATTAAGGACTCAATGGCCTAACCGTTCCCACTGAATTTTTTATTTATTTATAAAATTACCTATAAAATTTTTTAAATTCTTTAAAATGTCCTTACTTTTTAATAAAAATTCTAAAAATACCCTTACTTAATTTTTTATGATACCCCACTATATATATTGTATTTTAAGACAGCCCCTCTCATACATTTTTGGATTCCGTCCCTCCAACTACCTACCTAGTTTACTAGTGTCAGTTAAAAACAGATCTCCGAGCCCCGGAGCCTAAGGGGCACCTGGGCCGGCCCATTAAACATATATGGTAAAAAAATATATATATATACACACATAAAAATATGAAAAATTTAAAGTAATGTCCCCCTCCCAAATTATTAGTTTCTAAAATTATCTATTAATTTTTTTTAGGGTATGTTTGGATTGAAAGATTTGGAGGGATGCATAGTGAGAGAAAAGAAAATAAAGGATAGGGAGAGATAGGGAGGATATCATTCTTCATCCCTCATTTTCTATCTTTCCAAAAAAGAAAAGATAGGGAGAGAAAGGATAGTGTTTAAGTGTATTTTTATAATTCTGAAACTGCCCACAACAATTAAAAAGAAGAAATTATTATTTTTTTACTTGTATCACATCTATTTTAAATATCATTTCTCTTCTTTTCTCCTCCTCTATTATATGAATAATACTATCATTTCTTTTCTTTTCTATTTATCCAAACCTTAGTTCTTTTCTCTTTTACTCTTTAAATTCTTTAAAAAAAAGTTAAATTTTCTACTTAAATTAAACTCTAATTTTTTACTTTTTAATCTTTTCTCAAATTTTGTGAAGATTGATCAAATTCAGATTCATTTTTATTAATTTTCTAAACACATAATCTAGTTCTAATATATCCTTTCATTAATCATTGTAGTGTCATGATCCAAGTACGTTTGGTAAGTGGTAACTATCAAACATAAACTATCTCACACCAAAATAAATGTTCTTAGGGACTTAAGTCTCTTTCACGATATTATATCAAATGAATATCGTCACAATCCTCACAAATGAATTATTGGTTTTCAACTTTTTCTGCGTTTAACTTAAAACTCTATGTCATGCAAAAGTCAATGATATTTTTATTTTTTAAAAGCTTTGAGAACACCAGAGCAATTCAATGTTTTTTGGTTTTTTTTTTCTCTTTTTTTTTTTTTTTGGTTCCTACTGCATTCCATCTAACTCATTTACCCATTCTTACTGAGAAACTAAAAAAACAGCCCTCGAAAATGATCATTTGTTGCAACACTACCTAAAAAAAAGGTTTTTCTTAAAAAAACTACTCCGCATTTCTCTATTTTTATAAAAGAAATAGTTTCTTTGAGAGAATTTAAACAAAATCCAACTCACACACGTATTTATAAAATGAGAGGCTCTCCGATACTTTACACTTTGAATTATTGAACCGAACTGTTATTAAATTATTGTCTAGTATGAACTACCAAACTTAAAATGAGAGGCTCTCCGATACTTTACACTTTTGAATTATTGAACCGAACTGTTATTAAATAATCTTGAATGATTAAAAATATTTATATCCACACTCATTTTTATGTTCTCCCACCCTATTTTTCTTTTTCAAAATATCACAACACAACTATCTTTCAAAAAAAAAAAATACTTCTCCACCTCATAATTTTTACCAAAGGAAAACAAAATTCCTATTACTCTATTTGTTAAAGGATTAATTTATTTTTTTATTCTTTTGGAATCAACTAAAAGTCTAAGATATCAATACCTACTAAAAGACAACCAAGCTGCTTAGTTGGCCCAATTATAGGTAAAGTAATAAACATAGGTGGGTCCCACCCCAATCCATTATTCATCCCCATCTTAATGGGAATCAGCTAAACGCAAACAGCAAATGACAGACAATACCTTACTATATCTCCAAGAAAACTGATTCGGTCGTCGATCCCAATTCTCTTTCTCTCTCTACACTTTCCCTCTCTACAATGTCCAAACAGACTTACAAAGTCTGCTTCTGTTTCCGGCGACGGTTCCGGCTGGCCGCGGCTGAAGCTCCGGATGCGATCAAGGAGTTGTTCGATCGCTACTCCGAGAATGGAATCATGACCGCCGATGACCTCCGCAGGTTCTTGGTTGAGGTTCAGAAGGAAGATAAGGCCACTGAAGAGGAAGCTCAGGCCATCATGGATAGCTTGAAGCACCTCAACATCTTCCATCGCCACAAGGGCCTCAATCTCGAAGCTTTCTTCAAATATCTCTTCGGTGACACCAATCTCCCTCTCTCTCCTTCTCTCGGGGTAATTTTGATTTACCAAATTCTCAATCATATATGTTTTGTGTGTGTTTGTGTATAATTCAATCATATATGTGTATGTTTTAAGTATATATGTGTTTTAGATTATAAACAAACATGGTATAATTCATTTGCATTTTCTTGGTTTTGCATACTTTGATCTTTATTGGTTCTTGACTCCGATATGATAGGTGATTTGCTTATTTGCGAAAGGTATGGTTGAAATTGTGTTAAATATGGCTTCAAAGTGACAGAAGTATATAATATATATGGAGTGGAAAAGAGAATTAAAACATTAGAGGGTTAATAGATGTTTGCGTATATACATAAACAGATAATTCATAGCAATGTATTAAGACCTAATGCAATACATTGTCGTGATTATATAATTGTTAAGAGAATAGCTTCTTTTTTTGCCAAAAATGTGTTAAGCGACCAATACCAGTGGAAATTAGAGAATGATTCAATCTTGCATTGCTGACATAAATAAATCTAAGATATATGAGCTTATAGCTGCTGCACACCTGTTGTATCATGCTTAAAATAAGCAGTGTCCTGTGTGCTTGTTCCCGGTGATGTAAGTTCTATGTAACATTAAGTGCCACCTCCCAATGTGGCTAAAAAAAGAAAGAAGTATGTTTCACTGTGCCTATGAAGAATAAAAAAATTAATCTTCATTATTTTTCTAACTAGTTGATTTTTTCCCTCCCTTCCAGGTTCACCATGATATGTCTGCTCCACTATCTCATTATTTCATATACACTGGCCACAATTCCTACCTTACTGGGAATCAACTAAGTAGTGACTGCAGTGATGTCCCCATCATTAATGCACTGCAGAGAGGTGTAAGAGTGATTGAATTGGATATATGGCCAAGTTCCACGAAAGATAATGTGGATGTTCTTCATGGGAGGTACGGTGTTTGTTGCAAACTACAACCAGTTATAACTTTGATTACTCCCATGCTCTGAATTAGTTTGTGACTGACTTGGATGGCAATAGGCCGTTTATGGTGTCAAGTTATGAGATATTTTCATCAAAAGTAAATCAATATGAAAATATATTTATATATGCACAAACATGCATGAATATGAGGGTGAGCCTCGGCAAAATGGTAAGGTTTATGCATTGTGACCTGAAGGTTACGGGTTCAAAAGACAAACAGCCTCTGAGGTAAGGCTGCATACATTTGACCCTCTTCAGACCCTGCAATGGCGGGAGCCTCGTGATAGTTTCCTCTAGTTTTTTTGTAGTACCTGTCAGAACCTTGATCATAGATAGTATAATAGCTCCAAAACTAGGAAAATTGGAGGTGAAAAATCATAATGAGTACAATGACAAGATAGTGTAGTTACCTTTAGGATTTGTTCCGCAATTGGTTCAATTGGAGTCAAAAAGTTGAAGAGTTTTATATCTGACGCATCTCTACTATTCTTTTCATACTAAATGAAGTTAGATACAGTTTCTGTATGTTTTTAGTTTCTCAAGTTGAGTGAGTGGAACACTTAAATTGAGATAGTTGAAAATCCTTTGCTTCCTCTGATGCTGTATCTTTTGCAATTCTTAACATGTTCTTTCCTTGGTAAATTTCTTCTCTCTGTTTTTCTATTTCTGTTTCTTCTTTCTATTCTTAATTTTTTAAGAAACATCAGAATTTTGGTAGCATGTTACTTTTACAATGCTGCTGCATCTGCATTATACATGTCTTGGACACCAACACTGTTAAGGTACTTATGAACATGTGGTTGATGCCCTGGACATTGGATGCACATTTCTCTCTCTATCTCTCTATGTGTCTTTTTTGTTTTAAAAGTATAGAAAAAGAGAATTGTTACAAAAGAAAAATGTGGATGTGCCATTAGATTAATAGAAAATGCAAGTTTAAAAGGGTTCAATTATAAGATGGTGGGGAGTGGGGTAGGAGAGAACACATCACAATTTGTGTGTGTGTTCCCACTTGAATATGTGTTTGTGTATCTGTGTGTCAATCTCTATGTCCTTGTATGTGTCCTTTTACCGCGTTAACTCTGTTTTGTGTACCACATTCATGATCATGCATCACAAGCCTGAACTGCAAGTCTTGTCGTTATTTCATTTTAAGGTTTTGTTTTGATTTATGTAGGACACTGACCACTCCTGTCGAACTCGCTAAATGTTTGAGGTCTATTAAGGAGCATGCGTTTTCTGCATCTGAATATCCTGTTGTAATAACTTTAGAAGACCACCTTACTCCAGATCTTCAAGCTAAAGTGGCTGAGGTGAGTGTATGCATTTATATGGGGTAATGGACGCCCTCTTTGCTGTTTAATTTACTGTTTTTATTGTTAAATTTTAGATGGTGACTCAAACATTTGGAGACATGCTGTTTACTCCTGGCTCAGAATGCTTGAAGGAGTTCCCATCACCTGATATGCTGAAAAAGCATATTATTATTTCAACCAAACCGCCCAAAGAATATCTCGAGGCCAAAGAAGTTAAGGTAAAAGAGAATGATCCACAGAAGGAAAAGGATTCAGCTGATGAAGAAGCTTGGGGGAAAGAAATCCCAGATGCTAAACCTAGTATTGCTGATAAAGATAAGGTGCATGGTAATATTATGATATTTTGTTATTTAGGTACACCATGAGTTAATTCATCATACTCGATCTAACTCTCTTCTAGCAGGATGATTTGAAGGAAGAAGAAGACAATGAGGATGAGGAAGTTTTAGATGATGAAGATCATAAGTCAGAGCAGAACGTAGCACCTGCATATAAGCGTTTGATTGCTATTCATGCTGGGAAGGGAAAGGGTGGATTGGATGATTGGCTGAAGGTACTTCCTGATAAAGTGAGACGACTTAGTTTAAGTGAACAAGAACTTGAAAAGGCCGTAGTAACTCATGGAAAAGAAATTGTCAGGTAATGATTTAAATTAGCTCAATCCTTGTTCTGTAGGGATCTTAGTTTCATGTATATTATGCCCATCTATGGCATAAAATTCACACATTTGCTTTCTAACTTCTTTTTTTTTTTTTTTTCCTTCCTCCTGAATCATTTGCTTTCTAACTTAACTTCCAGATGTTCACTGATATTTATGCTAATTGGCTTTTTTTGTGTTGGCACGTGAATTCCCGTTGTCGGCATTGGTTAATCTAAAGAAATCTAATAATAAGATGCATTCTTGAAAGATGCTTAAGATGTCTTATAGTAGCAAAGTGATACTGCAAAAACATGTGATGAATGTGCAGAAGATGGACTTTGGTACTAGATGATATTTCGACAGGTGTTTTCATTTCATTAGTCATGTTAATGATGTAGGAATTATGCTCAAGGACATAATAGGATTTCAGTAAGATTGACTTTATTATTTGTTTGGAACCTCTCAGTTGCATCCAAAAAGTAGTTTCCTTTCTCCTACCCCTTTTTGAGCATCACATGTAGACTAGTGGTGGTTATATATATTCCACATCCTTCAGTTCTTTGGTATAGCATGTTTGATTATAAATTCCATCATCTAATGTGTAGTATGCATGTGTGCATCTTCACACTTTATTATGGAAATTTGCCATGTCTGATAATTGGTTTGCTGTAGGTTTACCCAGCAGAATATGTTGAGAGTGTACCCAAAAGGTATACGCTTTGACTCATCCAATTACAACCCACTGATTGGGTGGATGCATGGAGCTCAGATGGTTGCATTCAATATGCAGGTATGGCTTCTTTCTCCATCTGAGGATTAAGTATCCTGTAATTTATTTTTTGACTTTTTGTTACATTTTTTTTTTAATATATAAATTTAAAATAAATTGTACAGTATTGTAAAAGGACCCAGAATAGTAGTAAATTTTTTAGTTAATCAGTGTGTCTGAGTGTGAAAAAGATGCAAGGAAGTTCTAAATTTTATCACTCTTTGTATAGACTATTATAAATAAGAGTACTCATAGAATCATTTCCTGGTTTTTGATTCAAGGAAAATTACCACGTTCACACATTGCTCAAAGTAAGTCCCTAGAATTTTGGAATAAGTCTCTAGGTATTTTGATTTATCTGTTCCTTCAGATAGTTACAAACTTTAGGTCTCCACACCTTTTTACAGTGTCCAAAGTTACAAAATGAAGAATTTTGCTTGTAAAGATATATGCACACTAACATTTTTGCTCATGTCATTCAAGAATACACCTCTGCCATATAATCATCATGATTGTACTTGCTGATACTGTCACTCGGATGATGAAGTCAAATGATCACTTCTTCATTCCATGAATAAGTTGAACGTGACATGATGGCACTTTAGGAAACTGATTGCGACTAGTAATTCTCCTTTAGAATTTGGAGATATTTGCACTGTACAGAAATGATAGGAATCATAGGACATCTTTTGTTTAGAAGTTTATTTTTCCTAATGTTGTAAATACTTTCACGTTATGGTATAGAGTATTAACTAGACCAACTTGCTATATTACATTGGGCATTCTCAATATTGTTTTATATTCAGAAATAGTTACCAAGGGGCAGTGATGGACCCAGGAATTTTTTTCAGTGGGGGCGACTTTAGACAATAATGAGATTAAAAAGAAATAAAATCAACTAAAATAATATTTAACTTAATTATAGATTGATAATATTTTTTTAAAATACATTCACAATTGTCCCCAACTAGTTTCATGTTTTAAAAATGTTGCAACACTGCTAAATATAGTACCAAGAATAGTAACTCAGTGATATCTCCTCTACCTCTCAAATTGAAAGGTTTTGAGTTCAACTGTTCAAGTCTCCATAAAAGGTAAAATGTGTACATCTGTTATTTTTAGAGAAAAAATCTGTACTGCTAAAGAGAGAGCTGTGGATGATGCAGGGAGGGATAGTTGAGATGGAGACTAAAGATGATGGAGTTCATGACTACTGTTTATGTGTATATGTGTAAGTGAGAGAAGAACAAAATTAATGGGGCAAAAGATAAAAGTTATGGGTGCGTTTATGTAAATACTCAAAAATTTATAGGTAAAAATAGAATTATTTAAAAACCCAGTGGGGGCACCCACTGGGCCTCAAGTAAGTCCACATCCCTGCCAAGGGGAAAATGGACCTAGATACCTTTTCTTTTTTTGTGATTAGTTGATGAACACAGATAACATTGCCTTTATTTTTCAGTGTATTTTTTCTTGATAGTTGCAATTCAAAATAAATTATAAGGCAATGAAATATAAAAGATGTTCTTTGGGTATCATATATGGTGGAATGTGAAGTTGGAAATTGGATCACCTTCTCATGCAGTGGCAGAATAATGTTATGGCCAATGGGGGCCATGGCCCCTTGAGACTTGAAAATTCCACAAAGTCTTCTACTTCACAAAGTTGGCCCTAATATTATAATTATGATGCCCACCTAGTTTTGGCTTATAATTTACTTCACAATGGAGTAAATTCGTCTTTTTGGCTTTCCTGTTTATGATAAAAATAGTAATTAAAAAAAGAAAGAAAAAGAACTAAGGACATCTTTCAGCTCAAGTGGCTAATTTTATTAGACCTTGGCTAGGAAGCACGGACACTCCAAAATGGGCGAAGAATCCGTGTCCGACACGTGTCGGACACGGACACGCGTCGGACACGCCCCGACACGTGTCGGACACGCCAAAAAACGTGTCTGGAATTTTTTTATTTTTTTTAATTTTCGGACACGGCTGAGACACGGCTCGGACACGCCACGGACACGGCTCAGACAGCTCGGACACGGCTCAGACACACTTTTCTGGAATTTTTTTTTTTTTTTTAAAATTTTTAATGCTGATATGTTAATTTTTTTTTTTTAAATTTTTTAATGCTGATATGTTCTATTTTTTGTTTTGTACTACCCTAAAGATGCTGATATATATATATACTAACCTAAAGATGCCACAATTCGCCGTGTCCGTGTCCTAAAGATGCTGATATATATATATACTAACATATCAGTGATATATATATATATTCCAACCTAAACATATCAGTGTTTTTTTTTTAAAATTATTAATGCTAATATATATATATATATACTATTCGCCGTGTCCGTGTCCTAATTTTTTTGGATTTGCTATGTCGCCGTGTCCGTGTCGTGTCGTATCCGTATCTCGTATCCTTGTCCGTGCTTCTTAGGACCTTGGTATAGATATTGCTTAAAACAAAGTATTTGCGTTTTCTTTTTATTTTTGGTTTTACTATTTTTCTTATATTGGTTCTTTCTAAATAGATCCATACTGATAAATAAGTAAAGGATTTAAAGGCCAATTGAAATCCAGATAATTCATACTTGTCCTAGTTCTCAAGCTTCTTGTTAAATTCTAGTAATTCCTAAAAATATTGAATTTTAAATAAATTATCTTGATTTTTAGGTTGGTTTTAAAATTCATCTTTTAGCTGTGTCCTATACAGACCACAATCACCACAGTTATCTGACAAACCTATAAGGCTATAACATTGTCCGGGAAAATTGTCAAAAAATTAAAAAGTGGCCTAGTGATCCAGGAAAACCCCTAAATGTAAGGTCATCATGTTCTGTGCCCTTCTGCAGTATGATTGATGTTAAATTTATTTGAAACAATGACCACATCATATCATTATTTTCCATTTTAACTTGTTTGCAATGAAGCTCACTAATCTGTATATTGAATGTTACCCCTGGAGACTGGGGGAGAGAAGAAAAGAAAAGGAAAAAAAAAAGGTTACCCTAGCAGATGAGTAGTTTCACCTTGTGAGAAATGATTTATTAGAAGTAACTGAATACTGAGTTTGTGTCACAGGGATATGGAAGGTCGCTATGGTTGATGCATGGAATGTTCAAGGCCAATGGTGGTTGTGGATATGTGAAAAAGCCTGAGTTCTTATTAAAGGCTGGTTCACATGGTGAGGTCTTTGATCCTAAAGCTAAGTTACAGGTCAAGACAACTTTGAAGGTAAATGAAGTGTGTCCAGGATATTGACTACATTTGATTTCTTTACTCTTTCTGCTGAAGTGGCCCTTAAAATTTTTTAGTGATTTTTTCTCTCTGTGGCTGATTTGGGCTTTTCCGCTACTAAAATAGGTGACTGTATATATGGGTGAAGGATGGTATTTTGATTTCCATCACACCCATTTTGATGCATATTCCCCTCCAGATTTCTATACTAGGGTAAGTCAATATGGTTTACAATTTGATTTAATTTTTGTGCCCATCTTATTCTAATATACATTGGTTATGAGACTTTAAAGTTCTTTCCGTACGATAGAATTGTATGCCAATAGACTGAGTATAAGGTGTCTAAATATCAATCTGCATGCAGGTAGGAATTTCTGGAGTCCCTGCTGATACCATAATGAAGAAAACGAAGGCGCTGGAGGACAATTGGATACCTACATGGAATGAGGAATTTGAATTCCCATTAACAGTTCCGGAACTGGCTCTGCTTCGGATTGAAGTTCACGAGTATGACATGTCTGAAAAGGATGACTTCGGAGGCCAAACGTGCCTACCCGTGTCAGAGCTGAGAAGTGGAATCCGAGCAATTCCACTACACAATCGCAAGGGAGAGAAGTATCAATCTGTAAAGCTTCTTATGCGATTCGAATTTGTGTGACGTCATTGTGAGCTTGAATGATGCATATTGAGAGCTTGTATGTGATTCTTCTCTCACTTCCTTTTGTGTCTAATATCTTTTCCTTTCTTCTCTCTTTTGTGTTCTCTATTCTTTCTCTTTCGGTCTTCTATTTTCCCTGGAAAGTTGTGTGATATCTCTATACAATAAATATGTTGTGCTATTGAGGGGTGCTGTAAATGTTTTACGTGCAGAACTTGTAATGACAGTGTTGTAGAGTTGATGCTGTTTCTGAGTAAATACAATGTGTTCTATCAGTTTTCTTCTCATTGTTATGAATGAACTTTCGGTACCAGGATCTGAATGCCACATTTCATGTCCAACTCTAGTGTGCAATTACACACTCGAGTGATTGCTTGGATTTGTAATTTTTTTTTTCTCTCTCCTCAATAATCTTGATCTCAAGTTCTAGAGTATGATTGAATTTGATGAATAATGTTTTAGAACTCGAAAACTCTGTATAGACTCGAAGAGTTGAGTTCGGAAGATCAATTCGAACCGTTGAATCCCAATCCCAGTTTGCTCGTTTGCATTAGAAAGTGTAATCATCAAACAATATTAAATAATGGTCACTTTTATTCAGACTTTTGTGAATAATTTTCTGTTGTCCTAGAACTGAAAAAAATAAAAATAAAAATAAAAATTGGTATAAAATTTTTTTGGTCGCTAGCTTTTGAAAATTGTAATTTAAAAACTCAGTAAATTTTTTTTTTTTTTTTTTTTTTTTTTTTTTTTTTATAAATAAATTTGTCTTTTTTTGGTATAAGGTGAAATTGCCATTTATAACTATTTGAAAATAAAGTTCTTCAGTATTTTATATTTTGAACTATTGTTTTAAAAAAACTGAACCAAACAAATTTTAAATTTTACTATAATTTTTATCATTTACTTCCGAATTTCGTAAGATTTAATAAAATTTATACTTTTTTTCTCATTTTTATTTTTAAAAAAAAAATTATTAAATGGTTTTGAAACATGTTGGATTTAAAAAATAATAAAATATATTATAAAAAAGTTATAGCATATTGTCTCATTTAAAATAAAAAATAAAAAAAATTATTAGATAGTTTTGAAATATTTAAGATTTAAAAAAATAATAAAATATATTATAAAAAACTTTTTTATTTTTCCCGATATTATAAAAAACTTGGAACTACAATTCCACAACCCACAAACATTACCAATTTACCATGAAGACCAACTGAAGTCTCCCATCCCTGTCGCGCGCAGAACAGTTAAAACAGACTTCACTTCCCAAAATGACCTCAACGATGTCCCACCACCAACCTCTCTCCCCGTTGTCAGATTCCGACGCCGACTCTGACACCAGCCCCACCGCCTCCGGCGGAGCCGGAGACCTCCGCCACGACGACCTATCTGACACCATCTTCAGATCCTACATCGAGATCACAGGCCGTTCATCACCCGACCTCGCCAAGATCCAATCTTTCCTCACATCATCGCGCTCCGGCGCCCTATCGTGCCTCATATGCCTCGAGCGCATCCGTTTGTCCGATCCCACCTGGTCCTGCACATCACGCTGCTTCGCCGTCTTCCACCTCCTCTGCATCCAGAGCTGGGCCCGCCAGTCCTCCGACCTCTCCGCCGTCCGCGCCGTCTCCCGTCTCCCCATCTCCGCCTCCAAAGCCGCCGAAGACTCCCTCTGGAACTGCCCCAAATGCCGAATCGAGTACTCCAAAACCCTAATCCCCAAATACTATTACTGTTTCTGTGGAAAATTAGAAAACCCTCCCAACGATCCATGGATTCTACCGCATTCTTGCGGCGAGATCTGTAATCGACCGTTGAAGTACACTTGCGGTCACTACTGTTTACTCTTATGCCATCCCGGACCGTGCCCCGCTTGCCCGAAGCTCGTGAAAACACGATGTTTCTGCAGCGCCGTCGAGGAAGTTCGGCGGTGTGGATTCAAGAATTTCTCATGTAATGGCGTTTGTTCGTCGGTATTGGATTGCGGGACTCACCGGTGCAAAGAAATTTGCCACGAGGGTCAGTGCCCTCCGTGCAGAGCTCGTGGGGTTTACAGGTGCCAATGTGGGAAGGTGGAGGAGGAAAGGGAGTGTTTTGATCGGAATTTTCGCTGCGAAGCTCCTTGCGAGAAGTCGCTTGATTGCGGGAAGCATTTGTGTAGCAGAGGGTGTCATTCTGGCGAGTGTGGGAAGTGTCCGCTTCAGGGTAAGCGGGCGTGCCCGTGTGGGAAGAGAGCTTATGAAGGGATGGCCTGTGATGTTTTGGTGCCGTTGTGCGGAGGGACTTGTGATAAGATGTTGAGTTGTGGTTTTCATAGGTGCCCGGAGCGGTGTCACCGTGGACATTGTGTTGAGACTTGTAGAATTGTCGTCATCAAGTCGTGCCGGTGTGGTACCTTGAAGAAAGAGGTAGACTTTTGATGTTTTGGTTAAATTTTATTCTATCTCGGTTTTCAATCAATGTACATACTGTCCATCTGAATTCAAAGTAGACAACAGTAAATTAAATCTAGAACAGGTTCCTTGTTATCAAGATTTGGCATGTGAGAGGAAGTGTCAGATATTACGGGATTGTGGTCGCCATGCTTGTAAGCGTCGCTGCTGTGATGGAGACTGTCCGCCATGCTCTGAGGTGTGTCCTATTTCAGTACATTTGAGATTTTCTTTTACTCAATTATATAGAAATTGTATTTATTTGAAGTATCAGGTTTGTGACAGGAAGCTTCGGTGTAGGAACCACAAATGCCCTGCTCCGTGCCATAGGTGTGTTATTTTATCATACTTGCAAGAGAATGGTCCTTAGTCCATTACTTAAATGAAAACAGATATTGACAAGTAGTTTTATCTTATTTGTAGTATTTGAATACACCATTTTAATTTTATGGGGTTGTTTATCATTCTCGTTATATGGTGCTTTTACATATATCCCATGAGGCCATCGATGTGCTCTGGGACTACTATATCACAGTTTACAAATAAAATAAAATAATTCTAACAAGTTGGATGTATTTTAAAGTTTAGCTTCTGTAATGCCGGGGTTGCATTGTTTAAAATGAGGAAAAAAGTATTATATTGCTAGTAATTGAAACATTACCGGGGGGAAATTGTGAAAAGGAATAATGACTCTCTTGTAAAGTTCTCTGCGGTTATACAAAGGTGACGCTGGACAGCAATTTTTTCTTCTTGCAGAGGTGCCTGTGCTCCTTGCCCCGTGATGGTGACACTTTCATGTGCATGCGGCAAGACAAACTTTGAGGTGAGAATTCATTCATGAAAATTACAGCTAATTTTTTCTATCAAACATTTGTGGCTAGTGAAACCATTATTGTTCCCCTTTTTTTAATTTTTTTTTTATTTTCTCAAGCATAATAACTTCTATTGGAGGATCTTTATACATCATTATATGGGTGTTGTTATAACTAGATGATTCTTTATTTCATTCATCAATTTCAAACAATTTAGAACTGTATCTGCAACTGGACACCAACTTAACTGATAAATTATACAACCTTGGAACATGATAATGTCCCACAAGATTATAGGGCTTAATTTTATGCTTTCCATGAGTTCTGGAACTTTTGGTGTCTCAGTTAACTTCATGACATTTGATATCAGAATTGGTACTACGTTTTAGGTTCTACTCGGGTTAGGTTCTACTCGCTTAATTTTGATGTTGAAAAATGTATCTTACCATTGATTACTTGAAGGATGTGCTCAATTATGAAATTTTCAACAGAGGCGTGTTGTGTAAAATTATTGTACTGAAAGATTGTTTTTTGTTATTAACATGTGTCGCTGATTAATCATGTTGCAGGCAACTCACTCATTTCTTCCACATTCTCTTAAGTATATTTTGTTTCAAAGAAATATGTATTGAGATTTGCATTTACTTTCTTTGAGATAAGTTTGTATACTGTCATATTTCTTGGTTGTATATTTAATTATAATTTCCATTAATCCTTTTTTAGGTTCCTTGTGGTACTGAAAAAGACCAAATGCCTCCTAAATGTCGCAAACCATGTCATGTAACTCCTTTATGCAGGCATGGATCAATTTGCAAGGTACTGTTGAAGATCCAACTTATTCTTTTTCAGAGACATGTTATCTTTCAGGTTCAGTCTTTATGAGAGTGTTCCAGACCTCTCAAAAGTACACTTCAAAGTGCATAAATGTGATGTAAATATTCTATAAGTTGGAAGCATATTTGGATTGGACTCTTTTTAATTTTTCTTTTCATTTTTCATATTGCACATGAATGTATTTGGTTATCTTAGTTCTCAAGTGCAGAGATGAAATCTTTAGATCTTACTATTAGTTGTCACATTGCTTCATCTATAGTCAAACAGATTCCTCTGTGTTTGTGTGTGTGGTAGCATTTTCATTCATCATTTGTTTATTTCTCTATATTGTGATCCTTTTATTACATTTGAAATTTTCATTCTTTATATGCACATATAGCTCATTGACTGGTGGGAAAAATATTAGCATGCATTAATAATTTGAAAAATTGTTTTAATTAAGGAGTTCTTTTGTCGCAATGATTTTCTGTATGTTTCTCCAGCCACACAAGTGCCATTATGGATCTTGCCCCCCATGTCGGCTAATTTGTGAAGAAGAATACCCATGTGGCCATAAGTGCAAATTGAGGTTCGCATTATTTTGCAGTATATGAATGTCATCGGACAATCTCTTTCCCAGCACAATAATACGTTTTTCCTTCTTTATGTGTAGCTTTTCTTGTTTTCCCCTAATAATTTGTTACACATAGGTGTCATGGACCTAAACCTCCACCTAATCCGGAATTCACATTGAAACCAAAGAAAAAGAAGTCAAATCATCAGAGTGAATGTACTCCAGGTTCGCCATGCCCTCCATGCCCAGAACTTGTTTGGAGGTCATGTATTGGCCAACACATTGGAGCAGATAGAATGGTTAGTTTTAGATCTTTTCATGAGTGGTATATAAATATTTTTACTTGCCTGTTTTTTAATTTATATTTTATTTCACTTAAGGTTGTTCTATATCATTTTGCCAAATAAAAGTTCATATTTTCCTTTGTCTTCCTCCTTACAGATGGTCTGCTCTGATAAAACAAAATTTTATTGTGACAACTTGTGTGGAAATCTCCTTCCTTGTGGCAATCATTTCTGTACTAAAACATGTCATGCTCTGAAGAATCAGTCATCAACATCAGGTTCGCGTGAAAGAGGCGAGCCTTGCGAGAAGTGCACTTTATCTTGCCAAAAGGTTAGGTTCTGTGTTTATTTGTCATAGTCTGCTGGTCTCTAGTTTGATTCTCATCTTCCAATTGATTTGTCCCTCTAGTCATGTTTATATTTTACCATTTATCCTGTTCATCTGTTGCTCTGAAAAGAGCCCCAGATAACTAAAAATTATTACCATGGTTATATCTTTGTTATAAGATAAAATTTTCTTCAGCAGCACTTGTCATTTCAAAATTCATTGGTTGCCCATTCTTTTTCTTTTTGGGTATTCATTCAGGAGAGGCAGCCTGCTTGTCAGCATCCTTGCCCCCTACCATGTCATCCTGGAGAATGTCCCCCTTGCAAAGTGCTGGTAAAAAGATCGTGTCACTGTGGTTCGATGGTCCATGCTTTTGATTGCATATATTACAACAGATTGTCTGCAGAGGAGCAAATGAATGTTCGTTCATGTGTGGGACCTTGCCATAGGTAATTGACTATTTTGTGCTGTTAACAACCAATCAGTAAATTAGAGCATCCTTAAATTATTTTGTAGCTAAACTCATTGTTCTTCTCTCTTGCTTTAGACCTATGGTTTCTTTCATAAAGAAACAAAATTAACAGGGTATATGGAAAGAGTTAAAAGGCAAGATGACTGGTTACTGGAATTTATGGTTGATTACATTGATTGTCTTTATAATCTGTTTTCAACTCCGTGGGAATGGCTTTTCTCATGCATGATAAAAATACAAAAAGTTTTAAGTCTCTAAACTGTGGATTAATTAATGAAGGTAAGTACGTCAATCAGGTTGTATTGCTTGAAATTAATCAGGTTGACTAATCAACATAAACCTCTATTAACTCACTTGGAGTAACATGATTTCATGCATGTAAAAAACATAAAAGTTGTGTAGCTAATGATTGTGGATTGGATTGTTCAACTTAAGTACCTAGCATTTTAACATCTGTTGCAACTTATATGTTTCTCTTTCACAGTTCTCTCTATCAATATGTCTTAACCATATAGCTCACCAGTGGAAAGCATTTTTTCTACAGTATAAGGAACCGTTTCCTTTATAGAGGAAAAGAGTTTGTGTCCTGATCAAAGCTTTCATTTTATCAGAAAGGGACATATTCTTTATGAACAGGAAAGCAAAAGAATATTCTATAATTTTAGGATGTTTAAGGCATTCAAAGAGTTTCCTCTCTTTACAGACATTGCTATAGACATTTCTGTTCTAATCAATTTACTATTGGAAACCCTTTTTTAGATCAGTCAACTATTGCTTCAAACTTATGGAGGATATTTGAGGGTATAAACATTCATGGAGCAAGTCCAAGATGCTAGAATTTTATATATTGGGTTCATATAAATGTTTAGAAGTATTTATCTTTTCTTCCTCAGAGTATTATAAGGTTATATAAGATTTTTTCACAATTTATTTCAAAATTTTGTTTATTGGTTTAGTACAATGGCTTGCCAACAGCGTGCTACTGAGAGTAAATCCTTGTTATGTCGATTTTGCAGAAAATTACCAAATTGCACACATCTATGCCCGGAGATATGTCATCCTGGTCAATGTCCGGCACCTGAAAAGTGCTCTAAAAAGGTAATATGTTAGTGTTTTTTTTTCTTATGGTCTTGTTTTGGTCTCGACATTTCTTTGTTTTAGATTTAAATGTAAAAAAGCTAGTGATAACTAGGAAAAAAAAAATTAGTGATCTATAAATATTGTATTTGTATTTGAAAACCATCTTCTGTGGGTGTATTATTCTCAAGAGTCTTAGCATTGCAATATACTCTTGTATACTTAATGTTGAAAATTTTATACAATGCTTGACAGAACTCTCAAACTGGGATGTGGTCTGAAGAATCAGATTTAAGAATAATCATTGTTGTTATTTGGAAAAGATTCAATATTGAATCAATACTTCTGAATCTCATCTCCAACACTTTTAGGGAACTTATATCCATGTTAGTTTCTTCATAAGAAAAGTTCTTTACCCGTGGAAAAATGAAGGGTTTTAAGGCGGTGCTAGCTTCCTTAAATTACTGATTATTATATTGTTCATTAATAGGAATACCTCAAAACAAAGTAAACCTAATTTTAGACATGATAGCCCGGAACTTTTAAGATCCTGCAAGATGATTTATTCCAACAAGTTAGTTAAACGTGATTACCCCAAATAGAGCATACCTGAATTATTCCTCAGAATCCTGATATTTTAGTGAGTAAAATTTTCTGAGACATAAAGGCTTAAGAAGTTCTCAGTTGTAAAGAACTAATAAAACATGTGTGCATGTGAAATCTTGTTTTCTGTGTAAGCCTTAAATTCCATCAACATAGATTGTATTTCTTCAACTGTCTTAGCTCTACTTTATTTTCCATATGATTTATTTCTTCTGCTAGGTTACTGTTCGTTGTGGATGCCAAACCTTGAAAAGGGAGTGGCTATGTCGAAATGTTCAAGCGGCCTATTGCAATGCTGGTGTTGATCCCAAAGACGTATCAAAAAATCAATATGGACTGAGACTGCTTCCTTGCAATTCAGATTGCAAGAGTAAAGAGAAGGTTGTTGATTCAGAGTTGCAACTCCGTAAATCTAAAATTTTGGAGGTAATTCCTTTATAATTTTGGCTAAACCAGCTGTATAGTAATTGCTCTGCTAGAATTTAACGTTGTAGATTTTAACCTTCGAAGAAATAGCGAATCTGCGCTACCTATTGTTTGTACTTGAATAGTAGTAAATGACCAAAAAAAGAAAAGAAAATATGTACTTATTGTGCATATAAAGCTGTTATTTCAAATAGTACCAACTACCAACAATAAACCTTAGCTAAAAACTATTAAAAACATAGATTTTTCTTTACCAGAACTATGAACAATTTTTTATTTATTTTTCTGTGGTCATCAAGTCATCTTCAACAAATGGAGTGCATTATCAACTAGCTAGGTCTTGGGAAATCTCCGGCAGATTGATTTTATTAGCAAATATATAACTTTTTATCATGTTACATGGAGTTACTACTCATCAGTAAAACTATTAAATGTGACAAAAAATTATATGAGATTGTTTCTTGAACTACTGAAATCACATGTTTTAGTCTTCTAGAATGGTCAGGAAGTAAAACTGAGAAAATTTAATAACATGAAAGACTTGAACACATATATGTAAAAGAAAAGTTGTATCTTAATACTGTCTGGTTTCTGTAGTCAATTTTTTTATTCTGTTGGTTTTGCAATTTGTGCACAAGAGGCTATAATTTTAACGGTATTCAACCTAATCTGGATCTATGAATATAATAGTTCTAATACCCCTTTAGTTGAAACTTGCAAGTACAGCTCTCCCTAATGAGACCTATTGAAATTGACGAGTATATTTTGATGTTAGTGGCCTTAAACTTTCCACTGTGACAATAAGATGTAAGCTGTCTACTGGTCAGACCTTGCTTGCAGAGCTCCTAGTGTTGGCTCTCTTAATGCTTGTCAGTAAAGCCCGGGACTTGAAATGATTTTGGTTATCCATACAATTGAAAATTTAGGATGAACGTGGTGCAGTGGTGTGCCATGTATGTACCTATATATGTTGCATTTGCTTTACTAAAATTCTGTGGCTAAGATAGATTTCTTGGATTGTGTAATATCCTGTACTTGAAATCATATTCAGTTTCATGTTAAATACCTGCTTGCCAATAGAATTAAAATTTGTGCATGCTGCTGACCCTTGTGCATGAGATTTGGTGTACACAAAGATTCTACGTAACTTTATAGTGGTGAAGAATAAAACTGAACTAATGTTAAATTTATGTTGCCCATGTATATTTAAGAAGAAAGAGCCAAATGCTGAAAACAACATACCAAAGCGCAGAAAAAGACGCGAACGGGTACAAGACGCCAAGCAAATTTCAAGATTACAGGTTTGTCTTTTATTTTTACCCCTGTCAAGTGAATGAGTGAACACTTGGTGCTGTCCACGTGTTTTCTTAATTGTGATTGTTCTCTTTTTCAGAAAACTATTGCCACTGTGAGGAAGTTTCTTCTGTTTCTTGTCATCGCGGTGACTTTGATTGCATCAATATATTGCGGTTACAAGGGCCTTTTGTGGCTCTCTGATTGGATGAATGAAGTTGAAGTACAAAGACAAAAAAGAAGATTTCCGCGAAATTGATCGATCTGAAGCTATTTTATGCTTGAGTTCTGGTTGATTGACATGAAGGTCAGTACATTGAACTCCAATAGAAATTAATCAATTACACAATTCTTTCATTTATTTATTCAAGTTATTTTTCCCCTTTAGTTAGGCAAGGGATAATACTGACAGAAGTCACATAATATGTTCTGTAAAGTTTGGAAGACTGATCTGAAGCTATTTTCCTTTATTTTTTCCTTTAGTTAGGCAAGAAAATATTATGTTTTGACTCTTTTGTACCCAAATAAAGATCTTTATATTCAGGAAAAAATAAAAATAATGACCTTGTATAAAGCGCAATTGCGGAAGGGTGAAACAGGATTTATGAAACATATTATAAATAGTTTGGAAAAATGCAAGGTTCATCTTATTATTTGGCGAAGAAAAAATAAATAAATAAATAACAATGCTTTTCTAAAACTTAATTTTAATATGGGTTTAATTTTTGGACTTTTCTAAAATAACAATGCTTTTCTAAGATTATTATGAAATAAGGGTTTAATTTTTGGGCTTTTCTAAAATTTAATTTTACGGAATGGTTGTAAGGAGAATTGAAAATTTTTAATTATACACAATGCTTCCTATAGATCCATTACTTATAAGCAACATTTAAGTAATAAGTTATGCACCTATAGAAAAGAAAAATTAAAAATAGAAATAGATAAGTTATGGCATTGTGTATCAGGTCATGTATTAATTATCTCTTACCAGGGAAAAAAATAAAAAATAAAATTATGTCAGCAACAGATACTACAATAAATAAAGCTTCCTTGATCACGACTGAGATATCTTTTGTATTTGTAAAAATTCTTGGTACTCTGGATGAGGCAAAAAATGGTTCTAGGAAAATGGAAAAAATATGGACCCTTCTGAGTTTTAGAGGAGAAGGGGAGGGTACGAACACGGGCTCTCAGACATGGAGAGTAACCTAATCACCCAGGCAACACGGCACTTGGTAATAAATTAATATTACCGTGAGAGATAATATTGAAGTTTAAGAATGTTGTAATTGTTTGTCACTGGTATTAAAAACTGGTATATGAACTTACCTCTGGTGTGAACGCCCTAGCAGTGGGTTGCTCTCGCTGTCCTAGGGAGCCAAATATTGTCTAGTCAAGTTGTTAGTTGGGCCAAATTCATTCCAATTGTCATACAAAAACCAGTTTTGTTGACATTCCCCAAAATTAAAATTTAGTACGTCTCAAGCATTATCTCTTTATTTCATAATCTTTCTAGACAAGTGTGAAGTGTGAACAAGATACAAATTTCTTAAAAGTCCAAATTAAAATTCGATGTAGCAATACTCGAAATGTAGTTACTGAGCATCATGGTCACTTATTTTTTCAGTAAGCTTGAACATCCATTCTTTGATTCTAGCAGTTTTTTTTTCCCTTCCCGGTAATATGACAATATTTACCATTTCCCACAAAATGAATATATATACACTCATGCATATACAATTTTTTTTTTTTTTTTTTTTTGGGGGAAAACCGGAACCTTCCAACTATAGGCCTTTTAGATTTATGGCTGCAAGATAAACTTGAGATATGTGCAATCAACTGCAAACCACACATATTATGTAATTATGAGTATTCTTGCGTACGGTGAGAGTTGAACTCTGGATGTTTGACACGACATTTTTTTTTTTCCCTTCTATTTAAAGAAAAATTATATTGGGATGGATTATAGTAGGATTTTAAACAATACTATCAGAGAAGAAATCGAATTCGAGTTATTGTTTCATGTGCATTGTGTCATTAAAACACATACCCCAAAAGTGCATTGTGTGATTAAATTATATACCAAAAAAGTACCCAAAACTTAGACTTTGTGACCGTATTTTCTCAAACAGCTGCAATAAATTAGAGGGGTCAGTCCACCGGCACCATCCTAACATGAATTGCCACCATTTAATAATTGCCAAATTTATTACTATTATTAATTATATATTTTGTAACGGAACATTAATTTAATGTGTTATTAAAATTTGGAGGCACCGTTTGATTTATTGAATTTGAAAAAAAAAGAGAGTTAAATACCACCGTTTGATTTATAGTGAATTTGAAAAAAAGAGTTAAATACCACGAGGACACATGAAGTGTTTGGTGCCACCACCCTCTATCAATATTCTACACGCCTTGTTTTCCGGATAAACCACTTTGCATTGTTTAATTGGCTGCTTTTATTGAAGTTTCAAAAGTCAATTCACATGTAAATGAGCCCAACGTGTAAGCTTTAAATAATGGATATTTTAAAATCTTGGACCACGGACCACACCACCTTTTATGACTGCTTGGACTTTTTTTTCATCCCTGTGGGCTCAGACCTTTTTCAAGTACAAAAGCATTCTGCAAACCTTGGTCCATTTTGTAGACCCCATGTATAGACCATACACACAGTGTGTTCACATCTAATAATGCTATACTTTCTGTATGTATGTTGATATTCGTTGAAGGAGTCAAAAGAGAGTTCCAACAATCACACAGTTCCGACTAATTTGATGGGAGTGGGAGATTAGAGTCCGACTGTCATATAACTCCGACTGATTTAATGTGATGGGAGTGGAAGATGAGAACTCCACTTTCGACATTGTCAACTTGACTGTTAGAATCTTAAATGATTTTTTATCGATCCTAACTAATTGTTAGAATCTTCAATTATTTTTTCACGATGGAAATGAAAAAAAATATAAAAATAAAAAATAAAAAATTATTTCCTTATTTCGAATATGTGACCCTTCCTAGTCTTTTGCCAAGACCTAGCTGGAGTTCACCTCCTCTAAGCAAATCATAAATCATATACTCCATACACACATGCTATATAATATACACCTATGTAATCATGTATCCATAAAAAAAACAAGAATAAAAGGAGGTCTTTGACAGCATAACAATAAAGAAAAATGTAGTCTTTTCTCCTTAAAAAATAAATCCGGTAATCTTTTGGTTGTCAGTGTAAACAAAAACCTACCTACAGCTCATGTTAGATCAAAGTTTCAAACCCCTACTCTTTACATTCCAAAAGTATACCCGCATAAATTAACTAAAAAATTGCTAATAGCAAGAAGAAAAATAAATGAATTCCATTTTTTTTTTTTTTTTGGGTTATGAATTTCATTCTGAAATATTGGAAATTGGACCACTAGAGATGCTGCCATGGCTACCATCACAGAGACTCAATGCTCGCTCCAAATTAGCAACAATGTCAGCCATGGTTGGCCTGTCTCTCCCCTCCAAATTCACACAATGTGCTGCAGTGTATGCCACCAGCTCAACTGCCTCTGCTTCGTTTAGTTCCGGTGGCCCGACCCTAGGGTCCAAAATCTTCACCCATTCTCCGATCATAATTGTTGGCACCGCATAGTCCACCACACTTACTGGTGCTCCCCCATTATCACCGGTCTTGAATATAGCTCTTTTTCCTGTCAGAAGCTCAAGCAATACCACTCCAAGGCCATAGACATCACTTTTTGCCGTCAACACATTTAGGCCATAGTACTCTGGATCAATGTACCCAACTGTCCCTGCTGCCTTCATTGGTCTATAATCGCGGTCTGACTCAGGACCCATCAGTGACAATCCAAAATCAGACACTCTAGCAGTCCAATTCGCGTCGAGCAGAATGTTAGAAGACTTGATGTCGCGATGGATGATAGGTGGAACTGCGTAATTGTGGAGGTATTCGATGCCTCGAGCTGCATCCAATGAAATCTTGATCCTCATTTTCCAGGAATTCAATAGACTGCTACTCTTTTCCACATTGTTCTTGTCATGCAAATGATTATATAGTGCACCATTCTTCATGTACTCGTACACCAACAGCCTCTCATCCCTCTCCTCGCAATACCCAACAAGCCTGACCAAGTGTTTGTGGTGAAGTCTGGACAAAAACACCAATTCTGAATCAAATGCACTTTCTTTCTCTTGGAACTTCTTCATCTTGGGACTTGTTTCTCCCCTTTTAATGGCAACTTCTCTCCCATCAATTAATTTGCCTTTGTACACAACACCAAAGCTTCCTGCCCCAATCTTATTCTCTAGTGAGAAATTGTCAGTGGCTGCAACGAGGTCCGAGAATGTAAATTCTTCTGCTCTGTCTGCATGTTTCGAGGAGGTTCCACTCCTCTGGCGCCTCATTGCTCTCGAGCTCTGGCGCCTAATGGTGGCTGATCTTGAAGGTGGACTGTTATTGGATGTCTGGCCACCGTTAGAATTGTTGCCAGTAATAGTGGGTTGCACTGAATTATGAATTTTCTTGTGCCCACAACAAACACCAGTCCACAAACAATAAATTATAGTACAAATACCCGAAACAGCCCCAATCGATCCGACGATGGCGAAAGCTAATAAACCCTTTCTCAAACCTCTGGACGGAGAGGATGGTGAAGAGGAAGGTGATGGTGATGGTATTGGTGGTGGTGGTGGCGAAGTTGGTGGCATTGGGATTGATAAATCACAAGGGCTACATATAGTAGTACCAGAATTTGAACAGAGTGTTTGAGACAGAGGATATATACCGCAATGACATGTAGACTCATCAACACATGGCCCTGGAAGAACCTTTGCCAATGAAGAAAGCTCAACAACATCCCAACCTTGCCCCCAACAAATTATTGATAAATTGCTTGTCGTTACTCCACAAGTGAAATCCAATCCTGCAACAATGGATTCAAATGAAACCCTATTTGAAACATTGCTCCAAAACCCTAACCCTAACTCTCCGCCCCAACAAACCACTGAATGATTCGATCTCCGAATGGCACAGCTATGATTTGCCCCAAGAGCTAACCCGGAATACTCATATGGTGAATTGGATGAAGGAACATCTAATTGACCAGAGCTATTGAGTCCTTTACATACTATAAACCCTGTGGAATTCAATCCACAAGCATGATTGCCTCCAACTGCAATATTCAACATTGATACATTTGAAAACTGATCTTCAATTGTAGATGCAATCTGGTTACTACCCCAACAAGTGACTCTGCTAGTATCATTCAAAACTCCACACGAAAACCCTAATCCAGAGGAAATTGACCGGAATCGATAGGTCATGTTCGGCAATTGAGCCGCCGAAGTATCGCCTCTCCAGCATATAACATTTCGAGTACCGTTCCTCAGAGCGCAAATTTGACCGTCGCCGATTGTGAGATCTTGGAGTAGAATTGAGGTGTTGAAGTAGATTCTTTTGGCGCCGAAGGTGGAGTTCCAGCAGAGGAGGCTGAAGCCGCCTGACCTCAGCCCGCAGAAGAAGTCCCGGCCGCCGGCGATGGACTCGAAGGAGATGTTCGGCTCGACGTCGATGACTTGGAAGTTTCGCCAGCATTGGATTCGCCGAGTTTGCTGCTCGGCGACGATGACGCACACGGTGGCGTTGGAGGCGCCGCCGTAGGTGACCGCGACGGTGGTGGCGGAGCCGCCGAGGCCATGGACTGAAATTGGCGGCGATAGAACGGCAGCGAGAGTGAAAATGACGACGACGACGACGACGGCGTGGTTGACCTTCGTCATCAAATGGAATGAGAATCAACGGCGACGGTGGTAGAACTGCGGAGAGGATTTTCTCTCTCCTTCATTGGCGGAAACTGTAGAGAGAGAAAGAAGCTAGAATGTCAAGCTCTCTCTCTCTATGCATATATATATTGTATCATACATATATTTCTGTATCTATATATCTATATATGTACTATATCAAATATCAATATATCACGAGTTTAAAAAACTGTTGCACTGAAAATTCATAATATGTGGAAATGCTAACGTACACATTGCTTTTAAAAAAAAGAGTATGCATTCAGTGTTGTTGATTGACACGTATTGGTGTGAATCACACATATGTACACCGAAACACATGCAAAGATTATTAATTCATGAACACGCAGACACGTCTGAATATCGTACAACGGGTTTATATTGACTGAACAAACATTTGATTTACTATTTTAATTTAAATCATAATGTTGTGATTTAAATTTGAGTTTTTTCAGTTATCAAATGTGGATTATCTAACTATAATCTAGAATATAATTTTAAATTCAAATTTAAAAGAGGAATATTGAAGGGAGTCAAAGAACATGAATTTTGTGGCTGCGAATAGAGAGAGAGAGAGAAAGAGGGATGTCTTTTTTTTTTTTTTTTTTTTTTTTGAGAGAGAGAGAGAAAAATGGGGAATTGTTCACTGTTGTTGTTGTGATTACCGATTTCCAACTTGCTTCAATTGTCACTTTCTTGGGACTCTAAATTGGGTCAAACACGTTTGAGAGAGACCGCTGTAAAGTTTAAGTTGTGTTTGGCAACTGAGAAAAAGGAAGAACTACTTGGAAACTTTCACGACATTCCTATCATAATAGGAGACTGTGACAGGAAACAAAACAAAAAATTACTACGAGACTTCTATAGTGGTTACCTTACCCACCCATAAAAAAATTATATATGAAACAAATAAAAAATGTTTTGAGGCAGACCGTTAAGTACCATGAAATATTCAGGATATTCATTCTGTCACTGTGCAATTATAATTTAAGGTCAAATTAATCAACATCTCAAAATTACTATTCTGAAATTCAAATCCAAAGTTAAAAATAAAAAAACTTTATCATCACGTCAACACAGTTTATATTATAAAAAAATATTTGTGTCCACATTGGTGGTCACAAAGAAGTGAGTGAGATATTTATCATGCCCGCAATTCATCCGAATTCAAGAAACAAACTCCCTCTCGTTACATTTGACAATTAGTAAAAAAAAAAAAACTACTAAGAAACTATATAAAGACCAAGTATAAATTACTAGGAGATTGTTTTGACATGGAATAGATATATATCTGACTCAGAGATGATAAAATATGATAAAAGTTATACCAAAAATTGGTTCACATAGAAATGCACGTATTAATTCACGTAAGAATGCTCGTAAAATACTAAAAGGGGTTATTCATGTTCAACCAAGTTTCAATAATACCATTGTGACTGTTACATATGTACGAGGTCGGGTAGTTTCTTGGTCCTCTGCGGGTATGTGGAGGGAAAAAAAAATTTACTAGGAAACTTTTATGATTACCTTACGCATAAAAAATAAATAAATAAATAAAATAAAAAAACGTTTGAGACAAACGATTGTAAAGTATCATGACATTTTCAAGACTTTTCTGTGAGTTTGTCATTGTGCAATTATAAGTTTAAGGTGTTACTCAACGAATCAAAATTACTATTCTGAAATTCAAACTCAAAGTTATAATAGAAAAACTTTATCATTGCATCAAAAAAATTTATATTGTATTGTTTACTTATAAATATTTGACCTAATTAAAATATATATATATATATATATATATATATATATATATATATATTTGTCCATATTGGATGGATGTCCCAAAAAATTGGACCTTTGTTATTGTATATACTTAGGGAGTGTTTCCATAAAGAGTAAAGAATAGTAGAGTTTGATGCAATAGAGAGGCTGACACACTTGGACTGTATTGCATCAGACGGCTAGAGATTGGACAGTTAGATTCAAAAAAGCATTATTGAAAGAATAATGCAATAATGCTTATTTTCCTAATCCTGTAAGATAATACATATAAGTTAAAAAATGGACTGATTATACAACTTCAATGAAACAAATATTTTTCCATTTCTGTATTACATTAAAATACAATAGAAAAATCCAAATGTGAAATGAAGGTGCTTAAATTGTTTCTCTACAATTTTTTTTTCATTGACAAGGAACTCATACACACCACTCACACATCAACTTTGCTCTATTCACTTTAATAGGTGAAGAGAATACCAAAGGCCGAAATCAGAATAGTGATACTCACATCAAAGATTTGTCGTAAATTGCCTAACCGAATGGTTTTTGATTTGTTATTTATGCTAAATACAAGTAAGTAGTGGATTCCACTTCCTTATTTGTTACATAAATAACCAATTAAAACTACTAGGTCTAGCAATTCACTCCTTGAAATAAAGGACTACCAATTGGGGGGCATATAAACCGCTATATGCTTGGGCTAAGACGTAGTAGACGTGGCCCGAATAGCTAATCAGTCAAGGCACGATGAACATGAGCTTGGACCTGATCCTAAACACAAGCACACCCACTCAGAAAACTGAATGTTCTACCAACTAAGATACTGAGTAATGCTCTAAACCTGTGTTATGCGTCTTAGCATAATTTGATAAAAGTAATATTATGATATTCACATAATCTAAGATCTTTGTCACGAGAAATTGTTACACACTGATTGATCATAACCATGTAATAATTTCTTTAATTTGCCACAAATACAATTGTTCTTAACAGCTCCGTGACAGACAAAATAAAATGAATTGGTAGTCATATATATATTCCACAAATTCCGAATTTAATCGACAAAGTCCATATTTACCTTTTTGGAGATGAAACGATGATTCAATTCAGTGGGGTCGCTTTTTATGACCAATTGACCAAGTCTACCCTAATTATCATTGCTATTTTTAAGTAAAACATAGAGGAAGACTAATAATACCAAAGACCATTTCCAACTCTTGTTCAAGAGTTTTGTTGTTTGATTGTTTCTTTAATACGAAGACTACTACAAAGGCAAATTGATCCATGAATCTAATCAAAGTTTAGCAATGTAATTCATGATACCAAATCTATATAATTTTCCGTTCACACATACAACTTGATTGGGATGGTTCGTTGCCAATTTTATAAATTTGATTTTTTAAACTTTAATAAATATACGCTCTCACCGTCTTCGAACAAGGTATTTGACGTAATATTAGATTAAAATTTTATCTAAATCTGATACCAATTATAACAGATAGAGTAATTTACAGTCTGACACAAAAATTAAATTATGTGGACTCAAAAATTAAATTATGAGGTAGTGTTCACCGCGTACATACTTCGGACAATACCCTTTTGTAACAATATTCCACTAAACTAACCCTTTTATTTTACCTAAAATATAGTGAAAATTAAATGTACACCCAATTCACTCACAGAAACACACCACTAACAGAGTCACATCAGGGAACAGAATGGAAAAAAAGGGCACATGTATAACAACAAATATGAAACAGGAAGAGGCAGCATATAACAAATGCACATGTAATGCATCCAAAAAGGTAGAAATTGAACTTCTTAATGCCCTAATTTTGTTTAAGAGGTGTCCCTTTTGATCAAAAGCTTAGTGGGATTATACACTTATCCAATATTGTAGGAAATTGATTGGGTCCATATTTTCAGGCGTACGTCTTACCCTTAATTAGTAATTTACTTTATGTCTACACACTACATACACAAGTGGGTATTATCATAGCATTGCCACCACGCTTGTCTAATATATAGGTACACAAATATATACATATACATGTACATATACATATAATAAATGTTTAACTTGTGGTAATAGTATTTCCTTGAGTCACGTGGTACTAATCTCTTGTGCAGTTTCTCATTCACACTTTAGAAATCTTGAACACACCCAGGGACTTGGAACATGTCAATGTGTCCATGACATGTAGACACAAAATGAGGTCATCTCTGACGTATATTATAAATTGAATTCTAATAATGAAATATTTTTGAATTTTTGACCTTTGATCGAGTCTTTTGATTGACACATATTGTCATGTCTTGAATTTAAAGTGATAATTGCTTCCGAAAGAATAAGTTCTTGTGCAGACTCCACAATCAATTGTTATCCATAAAAAGAACATTACTAATGCAATCACATGCTTTGAGAGGTTGACGGCAAAGTCTTCGTGAAATTGGCTAATCAAAATTGATTTTTCGGAGAATTGATTATTTTTGCCTTATTTTTAGGGAAATTATTTTTTTATTATTACATTTATATGCTCCCTTCAATTTTTTCCTTCCCTTATTACATATATATATTTTTCTCTAATATGAATATATTTTTTAAAAATGTGTAAATGTGCTCTCCTCAAATTTCTCATTCCCTTGTATGCAAAAAAAATACCAAAACACTCACTCTGTTTGTAAATTCTAGCTTCGTCCCAATATATGCCTTAGACAAAAAAATACCAACACACTCACTTTGTTCGTAAAGGGGACTTGAACCTTCAACCTTTTTATTTAGAAGGTGGAAAGTACTCTTTTAAGGTATATTCAATTGAGTTGTTTAGGATATGTTTGGATTGTCACTCTAAAAATAGTTCTCAAGAACTCAAAAAATATAAAACAGTTTACAGAGAACTATAAAACACAGTTATAATTGAATTTTCAAAAAAAAAAAAAAAACTGAACCAAACATTGTTTTTGTATAGCCCTCTGAAACCAAAAAATTGTTTTCTCGTGACAAACCAAACAAACCCTTGGATTTCTATTAAAATCACTAAAAATTTGGATTAAATTCAACAAGTGTGGTGAAATAAGGAAAATTGGATGTATTTATCAAACACGTTGTGGTTCCTGAAATCCTTCAACTTTAATGTGTTTAGAATCGAAATCAAAGAATAAAAAATAAAAAAAAAACAATTTTGCATATTAAATAAGCATGATCCAGAAAGTGAGAGAATCAATGATGTAGTGGAAGTAAACATGGTGTGTTGAGTTGTAGGTATCTCTAAAAGCAACAAAAACACAGAGTAAAGGTCTACAAGAAAGGGCTAAAATAAGCTGGACTTGTAAAGATAAGGGTTTAAACAATCCCACATTGCTCTTGTTTTTTCCTCATTATATGTTGACTGTTGAGAGCTTTATGGACAAGCACTGCTGTGAAAAGCTCATTTGATAGACTGAGTTCCTAACATGAGTTTGGTATATATATATATATATATATACTGATTGATAATTGATTAGTAGTTGTAGTATGATTAACTTATCATCTACCATCCACTGGAGACAATGACCTAGAGATATATACTTTCTGTACCCCACTAGGAGGAACCAACAGGTAGGTAGGTCAATTTCAGAGCCACATTGCTGGATCAGGTGTAGGTGACAAGAAGAAACAGAAGCTGGCGGGAATAAATTTCTTTTTTTTTTCCCAAGACAAGCGAGTAGAAGTAGTACCCAAAATTTTAAGTGCGATATCACAATCTGAGTCATTAGATCTGTCAACTGCCCGTATGGCATCGCAATCTCAGTCATTGGATTTATCAGCCCCGCGATCATTGTGGGAGTCCTAAGATTCAAGAACTGAGGTTGCATAGTCGCGATTATTATGTATAACACAACTCAAGTATAATATATGGATTGAAAGACAGCTATTACAATCATTGGAAGCTACATCAAATACTGAACCTTCTGCTGCATAGCTAAATGACACTAGCAGGAATTAGGAAGGCATTTAACGACTACATTGTTACATTACTGATATCCGAGTTCAGTTTTAGCTCAACTCTATTTTTCATGAACTCGGACAATCATTTTTACAACTAAAGTTGGACTTACATTGAAACATCTCAATCTAAAACTTAATTCGAGTTGAGTATCAATAACCCAAACCCAAATTTTCACCCCTTTAATATATATATATATATATATATATTGAAATATATTATATATTTCTAATCATGCATGCGTGCCACTAGAGTCTAGAGCCATAGTCTCATGTCAATCACCATCTCAACATTTTCTAGACTTGCAACTAGAATCACCTGAACTAGCACAATAAGTTCAAATACCTTTATGCATTTATTGGTTCAAAATAGCAGCCATGGCTCATAGATCACATTCATACGGGAAGAATAAAAAACATGCATGATAAATATTAATTATTGGGCAACAATGAGAACCGTATAAACTATAAATAATTACCGGTCAGTAACAGGTTTACAACAGGACTTGAAACATGCATGAATATGAAATAGAATTGTGGGCATATAAACAAAGTTACATAAGAATCAGAGTATTGACGATGCTACTTCCACAAATGCTGAACATGTTTGAGTGGTGCAGCAGTGGAACCTTCACAATGAGACATGGAATCCGAGAAAGACGCTTTGTGTACAAACTGATGCTTTACAAAAAACTTTGAATCCGAGAAAGACGTGCAGCCCTTGGATAAAACTGTGTATTGGATGGCGCTGAAGCATGCAGCAACAATGTGTACAATCTCTATCCTACTTTGTCAAACCACAAGCAGGGATTCCATGCATTTGAAACCATTCAGGCATGCGAAATGTTTCATAGAGCACAGGTCTCACATCCTTTTGCTGAGAGAGATGCTTAAGGAGCGGAAGGAGGACCTCCAGAAGCTGATCAACCCAAAAAAGATGGATGAAAGAAGTGGTCAAAAAAATGACCGAACAATATTGGAGAAGAAACCTGAAATATGACTGACAGAGAGGTCTCCATACCTGTTGATCATGTGGTTGTCCTGCAGAAAATGGAATGCATGGAATTCCATTCAGTGGTTGCAACAAGAAACTGAAAGGGTTATTATCAACTATAACAGTTCGGCAGAGATCCTTTGATAGGCTGGATAGATCCTTCACATGTTCCCGATATTGCCTGTAATTCATGGCATGCAATAGAAAGGTTTTACCACACAACCCAACTTAATCCCCAACTAAGTGCACATTTAATAATTCAATTCCTTAAACAGTCTTAATTAGTGGAAGATCATTTGAATATAAAACAAGAATAAAATGTAATCACCACCCCTTCTACAAAAATTGATTTGTAGGAAACAAGGGATTGAAAATAAACTGTAAAGTAGGAACAAATGAGTTGATTCAAGAAGTTCAATAAACTGTAAATGGATCCACATTGTACAGGTGTAACAAGGGATTTAAAATATATATATATATATAATTACAACTGACAAGGCTTGTAGTTGCAATTTGCAAATAATCACTAAATTAGCACTGTAGATTATGAACCATCTGTTCATGAGCTTTGATTGTGTGCATGTTGTGTATTTTAATGTTGAAGAAATGGATAGCAATCTAAGACAATTTATCTAGTAAAATTATGATAATGGTAGAGACTACAAACAAATAAATCACACTAACAAATTGACCTTGAATTTTTGAGGAACCATATTTTACCCCAAAATATTCCATATTTGAGCTGAAACACGGAATATTGATACTAAATAAAACATTATGCAACATGGGGCTGTCAGACATCCCGTGGAAACTGAATTAGTCCATTGTGTTTTTCACAGGATTTTGAGATTAGCAAATAATGTTCCATGCAGAATTTATTATGAGAACAACACCATAATTATCAATACTGAACCATTTATTAAATTGCCAAGACAATGTCATGATAAGAAAGTGTTTGAAGAGGAAATTTAAAAAATCAAAAATAAAAAATAGAAGATTGGATCCCTTAAAATGCTAATAGATCACCATGATTTTATTATTACTATTATTAACTTTTTTTAATCTTAAAACCTTTGTAAACTATGATAAATTTATTCAATTTCCATATAACATTTGAAGAGCACATTTTAAATCATTTTTGGAAGGATAATTTTCACAATCCATAGAAACAGGCAGGAAGGCTTAAGCTTCAGTTACTAAAGGGAGTACCTTTACCACACACAACTTTAAGAATAGACAGAAATTGCAGTTGATTGCAAATCCTGAACCAAGACAGCAATGCACTGTTTCACATATTCTGTTAAACATGAAATTCTTAGTTAATATGTTGACCTGCAACAAACGGTAGTTTTCACTCTCAGGTTCATTTCATTTCAAAACAGTACTTTCCAGTTTTACATAAATTGCATGCATGCCCTTATACATATAGAAAATTGTTGGCATAACTAGACTTGTAGAACATGGTCATTCATACCAATTTTAGAGGCTCACAAAATTGACACTCAAACTTCGAAGTAACTATAACTAAAGAATTTCATAGCTAAAAATCGACCAAAATCAACAAAAGATATCAAAGTTATCACTAAATATTGTCTCAAACAATACCATGATTAGCATTTACAAACAAGAGATCCGATACAAGCAATTGTGAATATATAGAGGAAACCAACCAACATGACAGTTCGGGACATCTACATGGAACAGTCTTATAATCACATTCATCAGAAATTATGATTCTGTCTACTTAAAAGGAAACTATTTTGAAGGATTCTTTTCTGCCAAAAAGATCAAGAGAATGAAATATTTCCCAAATATGACAAATATTTCTTATTTTCACATTAAGATATCAATTGACATAAATGTAAGTTACAAGTTAAAGATACTTAGATTTTTCCAACAGATTTACCATTAGAGCAGATGAAAGTATGGAACAATGGGCAAACAGGTAATGGTCCAAAAGGGACTTATGCCACATGGTCCACTAACTAAACAAAGATTGGTTTCTAAGATAGAAGTACATCTTTCTAAGCCATCCAAGGGCATCAGCTGCTTAATAATCTTTATAAAGGGCATACATTATTTTTTGGGCTACAGCAAGTAGAACACAAACAAATATCACTATCTGACACTAATGATAAAAGGTGCCCATTCAGTGTCTGAAATGGCAAACAAAATGAGAAGAAAAGGTAATAAAAGAAGACATAGACTTGGTTGGAGTCAAATGAATATAATGCCTCCAACACATAATAGATGTGAGAAAAAAATGTGCCTTTACCACATGCAAAGACAAATGAAAAACAAAATTTAAAAGAAATCTGAAACAAAATAAAACCTAGAACGAGAATCCAGTTGAAGAGCGGCAGTACTTACGTGCTAGTTGTAGAAGGTCGATACAGTCTAAGACTAAACCGATTTTCAACATCTATTCTGTCAACAAGTGGTCTAGCATAACCTGCAGCAGGCATGCTAAGATGGTTACTATAGATAAATAGATATAAAGAGATAGAGAGAGCGAGAGAGAAAATATGCGAACCTTCAAGACCCGCTGTGAACAACACAAGCTCTGCAAATTCACTAAGTTGCTTTAGAAATTCTTCTAATCCTGGACGTTCAAACACCGTAACATAGTTGACCTTAGGTTTGCCTTCACATTCCTTCGAACCCGAAAATTCAAACATTAAAATACATTCATTTTGAAAATTTTCAGCTAACTTATAAATTATGAATAACAAACATGTAAAACACCTTGTCTGAAGATATGCATTCCAGCTCAAACCACTTCAATCCACCTTCCGTGGCTTGATTACGGACGATAGTTGGCAAACTAGATGTCTCATATGCACATACTAGAGTTTCGTCCAAGTCAAGGACCACCTGTATGCATAATGCACGAGTCAGATTTGAAATATAGTTTGCAAATGGGCAGCTGTAAAACAACCAGAGAGAACTTCGATGACAATGATGATAATATGAAAGAAACCTTTGAACCACTTATTCCATTCAATCACCATGGCTATGTGAAACCATGAAGATTGTCACATTTCGCAGTCATGGTTCTTGTCGTAAATATTCTTTTTTTTACAAAGAGGTGAGAGTTGGCTGCAAGTGAATGTCCTAATACTTTTTTTCTTTTAATTCATGCTTTTCGTTATCTCTTTTTCTCCTTTTAAGATTAAACGGTACAAGAGTATCTCCAATTCTGTTCAAGAGACACCTAATCATTTGTTCTAATATTTTTCTTATTTTTAGACCCTAATTTTTTGGGTTATTAGCAAAGACTAAAGAGCTAAAATAGGGATAAAGGGATGAAGTCGCATTGTCCGGTCAGGTGAATTTTGGTTAGTAATGTAGATTTTAGTTCATATCCTCCACTAAAATTATAGATCATAGTTCAAGTTCGAATCCATTATTTCCTTTCGATGACTCGCAATTCAAGTAACTAGTTGTAGAGTACAGTATTTGTAAAGTTAATTCAGTTAGTGACTGATTACACAGAGAAGTAATATCTTCTCTCAGCGACATGGGTTCCCCTTGTCTTAACCTTACAGAGATTCTGCAATAACCAAACAGATTCCATAGAAACATGACGATGTCATATACCTTACTACTTCATATGCATGGCTGAAGGGGCAAATTGAGAGCCATTGATAGCACAGCATTAGGAGAAATCATTTCTTTATTTTCTTTTTCTTTTTTTTTAAAATAAACATTTTGGCAAGTGAAACATAACTATAGATGTCCATTCTTGAAACGCAAAGGAAGTTCCAGAAATAACCATTTCCGAAGACAACCTAAGATGTATTCTATGATTCGTCCGTGGATGATACAACACATCTATTTTCCCAACCACCTGTGGCCAACAACAAATAACCTTTTCCATCATAAATCTCTACCTTGGCCAAATTCTAGTGTGTTCTTAAGGTATCTCGCCTCTTCTACTAGTCACAATCCAAATTGACTATGTCATTGTTTCATGTGGTACTTTTAACTTGAACAAATGTTAAGCCTTGCCTATTTAGTCTTTTTATCATTTTTATCCACAACACACCATCTTAGCCCAGCTTTACCTCATCTCATCCTATGACTCCTCAGGAGTGCATATATTTCTTGTTATTTTTTATGCCCCTCAAACATCTGTCTTTAATTTAACAATGCTTATTTCATCAGCATGTGATTTTACTACAATAAAACCACGCATATCTCTTACCAGTCCCCTTTAGTTTAAGAATTAATTGTCAGAAAATAATGCACAGCAGCAAAAATGATATTGAAAAATATGCAGTTACAGTTAGAGACATATTTAAACATGCGTGGTAATGGCCAGACACAACATGAAGTCAAAGCATGATAATTAAGATATTTTCTCCTGATTCTCCATATTGCATTCTCAACCACTTGGAGTACACTCAGTCCACAATAATTGCATATAGTCTCACAAGCACCAGCATTGAGGATTCTTGAATTCTAAACCATCTAAAGAACACATAAATATTCCAGATACATATTAGGGCCACCTTTAAGTTTCTCCCCCCATACAGCCTTCCCCATCAGTTACAAAAAGATTGAAAAACATGCTTAGTTTCATCCAACGAGATCTCCTTGTTGCCTAAAATTTAACTCCACAAACTTAGGTCATACTTTGGATGGAACATAAGAACTGCACGACATAATCAGAGTATATTTCCGCTAAATCTTCTTACATATAAACTTAGCTCATAAGCATTCTTTCTCTCTCTCTCTCTCTCTCTCAAGAAAAAACAAAGCTATCAAAATTATCTATTTAATATTTCATAGCTATGAGAGGACATGGGGCATTACACATCATAACCAGAAGAGCAAGTCAAAATACGGATAGATGCAAAGCAAAGCAAACCGAAGGCACGACTTGTTGCCAACTTGTAGGGAAGTAGAGAAATAAAAAATAAATAATCTTTATTCAGTGTTAAAAGCTTTTGTTTCTCCAACCTTCCCAGCATACGCTTGTGCTTAAATGCCCTTAATTTCTCAATACCTCCAAAGCACAAAAACAGATGAAGCAATATGAGGTTAGACAGATTGTTTGTTGTTAGATGCCATCTAGGCCTATGCATAGCTCTCTTTAGGCTTTCAACATTACAACTCTATCACAAAACACTTCTCTAAATTTCCAGCTAATTAAAGCAATTAAAATCACACACTTAACTATAGTTCAAGTAAAAAATTATGCTAAATATACTAAAAGAGCTTCTTCTTCTTCTTCTTTATAAAAAAATTCACCCTAAAAAATAGAGAACTGATTAAAAGCTATCCAATGCCTTCCAACATTAACCAATTAAGAAAGTTTTTCAACCCCATAAAACAGAAGTATAACAATCCGAACCCTGAAATCGTCTCTACCTGATAAAATTATAATTCTCATCTCCGTACCAAAAAAAGCCTATATTGTCAAACTAACAATGATAATCAACCCTATCATGTTGATTGACATCCAATCAAAGTCAAAATGCAAATATACAATCATCAAGACACCACCAAACAATCACTTACTTTAAATAGATCAGTCCAAGCAATTCTTCATTTATCATAATTCAAAGTCTAAAGAGAGAGAATCAATGGAATCGTACCGTGAGCTTCTCAATAGGACCCTCATCGCCATCTCCGTTGGTGACGGTGACTTTTCCACCGGTAAATTGCGCCGATGCGGAGGATGTCGGCTCTATTTGTTGCAATTCGGTGAAATCAAAGTCGGGCAAAGGCTTGAACGACGGCGAAGAAGAGGAGAGCAGAGAATGGTGTCGGAGGCCGACGTAAGAGAGGAGCTGAGCCGGCGTGCCTCTGATGATCTGAACAAAGATCTGAAAGAAGAAGGCGAGCCAGTTCAACAGCGTCCTCCACACTTGCAGACTTCTCGGCGCGTATACTACTTCAGCTTCGACGGCCAATTCGGCCATGGACGTACGCTCACCGAGCGAGTCTATGTTGCAACTAGTGTGCGCACCGCACTAACCTGTACTTCTTCGGAATAGTCACGTTAACACGTCGTCGTCTTCCAAATTTGCAATCAAGATCTGAATCTCTTTCTCTTTCTACAATTGGGTTTCTGTGTATGTATAGGTGACGGAGTTGTGGTCTAGAGAGAGAGAGGAGAGAGAAGGCAATGGCACGCGTAATGGAGACCAAAGGGAAGAGTCGCGATAAGTCTGGAGGCAGCTTGCGTGGGAGCGTGGATTACACGCGATTTATCTGAGCGTGTTGAGGGAAATTTTGCAGTGGACGACAGTGAGAAAACAGGAAACTCAATCTGCCAATCAGAAGAGACAATTCGGGCATGTTTGCTACTGTTTTATTTTTTTTATGTTTTTGTTTATTTTAGGCACCGGAGATAAAATAAAAATATATATTATTTTGTATAATATTGATATATTTCTTAAATAATGACTAAAAATCAAAATATTAATTTAATGCTTTTACATGTTCCAATACTTTAACAATGATTATTGTATTATTGAATAGAAAGAAAAAAAATTATTGAAAAACTCTAAAACAATATTTTTAAATTAATCATTATACTTTTAAAATTTGTAATATATGTTTTTCTTATAAAAATTTATAAGAAATAAAATAGATTTTTGATTATAATTCAAAATATTTATTTTGTTTATGCCTAAAACAAAAATAAACGGTGTACCAAACTCGCCTTCCTTATTTGATGTCTTTGATTATTCTTACATTTTACGGAGTGATGCAACGCTACGCCCACGCGCGAAAATTTTCATGACATTGTGAGGATCCGAATTTTCACGGCGGGACACCTTTTCTGACTAAAATGCACAAATGGAAAGTCTTTCATTCATGTCTCCAATTTGAATCCGAATATTCTCCAATTCATATCACTTCTTTTGTAAATGAAATACTGTTAGTTTGAGATAATGTTGAACAGTCATATAACAAAACACATCCAACGAAAGCAGCAGTAGTTCTACATTTGCTTGGTTCCATTATTTCTTGAACATATTTCAACAATTTTTAAAATAAAGAGGAAAATAAAATGTTCAAGAGAATCAAAGTTCTCTCTCAATTTCAGCTTTTCTTATATAATTCTGCAATACAAAAATCAAATTTAAAAATTACAATGCCCATAATTTCTCGATCTCTGACACTCGACACATTTTCAGATCTCTGACACTCAATAGACGGCACATTTTCAGCTAATTGTAACGGCCAAGTGCTTCACAGTTGGATAAAAAGCTTAACATGGTGCCTTGGATGGAGACATAAGGAGATCAGTAGCATGCACGTGAATGTATTTACACAAGTGATGATAGCATTATTACATTAAAATCAAGTGGAATATGCCAACGCTCAAAGTTTAAATGGATTAAAAAAAATGTTTTGATTCTTCTGGATTGAACATAGACAGCTTGAAAGATCAAGATTACTTTTATAATCAAAATTGTGTATTGCATTAACAGAATACTCATTCAGAGTCCAAACCATTATTTTGATTCACATTTTCTCGTCATCCAATAAAGGAGCCTGTATTTGCAAAAAAGTCACCATCCCCTCAAAAAGAAAAAAGGAAAAGGAAAAAGAGAAGAAAAAATAAAAGAAACAAACGTTACAAAATTGCTAATGAACATGTATATACACGCTATAATATAGTGTCTTTACATGTATTATACTGACCGGATCCGGAATCTCAAACATATACTACTGGGCTTGTGTTGGCAGAGAGCTTATTCAGCTATGAGATGCTTCAAAAACAATCATTTCTCCCAAATTTCAGCAAGAATCAAGAATCGTATTGATGGGTAAGCCAAGGGTGTTTTAGTGCCTCTGCTGCAGTAGGACGCCTCTCGGGATTTATCTCAAGCAAGTCCTTTAAAAAATCAATGAACTTAACATCGGAAACCTGCAGGTGATGCTCCAAGGATGATTCCTCCGGTATTATGTACTCCAGTTGATTCGTCTCCTAAATACAGAAACACAAGGATGAGTTCAAATATATGAAAAAGAACTTGACTTTGATCGCATGATCGACAGTTTTGAAATCCAGTTTTTAATTATAAATAGTCCGATTTCTAATTGCATCAGTTACTCTAAATGCATGATAAGTACATATCAAGGAGCTCAACTTCGTCTTTTGGAAATTGAGGGGGTGAGACGGATTCAAGCACTATACGTGAGTGGTTGTGATTATGCGAGAGAATTAGAGACGAGTAGTGAAGCAACCCAAACTGTACAACTTGTTTAACAAATAATTATTAAATCATGTAGACACCAAATCTTCTGACCTGTATTTATTTAAACTTGTGACTTAACTAGTGGTATCTACTATCTCCACTCCTTTCAGAGTGAAAGGCAGACTATAAGACTGCAAGAAAATCAGTAACAATTACGAAAAATAAAAAATAAAATTGATTTTGCGCATCAAACCAATGGAAAATAAAATTGTCCCGACAGTTCACCTGTCAATATGGTTCCTTGCATCAAAAAGATAATAAAAGTATTACATCATTTCATCTCGGCTTGAATTCCTTTTACGGAAGAAAAGGTTTTAATACCATCTTTCCCACCTCTTCTCCAAGACAACAAAACAACTAATGCACGCTGAATAAGAAAATCTAGAATTACTCGTATATAGTCCGTGTTGAAATATATAAATATTTCTATATAATTGTGTAGCAAAATCCTCCACTAATCACGGTGCCTCCTTTGACTATTGTACACCTTTCATATATTCTTATCTTTACCATGCCTACATATAGGCTCTTTGTACTTGAGCAATATATTGATCTAAATAATAAAAATGTAGTCCTTAGTGGCTCTTTGTCCATGGATGTAGGCCTTAGTACCAAACTATATAAATCTCCGTGTTTTCTCTCTTCCCTTTTCCTATTTGCATTTCTTATTTCCGCATCCAAATTTAACATGGTATCAGAGCCACCGTCGGAGATGGGGGCTTAAGCCTCATCTCCAGCGGCGATCCATCATCATCCCCTTCTTGTAGATTTAAGGTCTCTGTCTCCGTTGCCATTCTGTTCTGGAATCCTTCACCACGCGCTCCTTTGCTCCGCTTCCACAGTGGCCAAAGAGCCTTCTTTGACTTCGCCGATGCTGTAGATGTTGACGCCTTAGCCCGAGCTCTCCGGCGTAATTTCCAGACCTGTTTACAGATCTGCCTTCAGTTTCCGTTGCTGCTCTGAGAGCAGTTTCTTTGTGTTCTAGTCGTTGCAAGGTGCGTTATCACCGGTCAAGTCCTTCGCGGACATCTATCTCTTCCTCTGCTCGCAATCGTTCTTGCAGTCGCCGGAGTATTCACCGGCGTGTTACCTGGCAGTTGTTGCTCCATTTGGAGCTCTTCAATTCTTTTCCTTTCCTTTACTGTTTCCAGATACTTTCCTTTACTGTTGCCAGATTGCGTGTTATCACGCGCCTAATACACACCTCCAGCATGCTTCATCACGTGTTTTTACGCGCTTCGCCGCCGTCGTTACTACCTGCTAATATCCGGCGTCGTCTCTGAATTCGCCATTGTTTTGCAATGGCTTCCTCTGGTTTACTTACAGTCGTTGCTTCCTCTGGTGACTTCCTTCCACCACAGCGACCATTTTCCCCTTCGTTGTTGCCGTCTACTTGCCTTGGGATACCATGTGTATCATTCCAGGGATCGTCGCCGCCCAATTCCCGTATCAATCATCATCTCTTCATCCTTGGTTCGTTTGGTTGGAGCTCTGTTTTGGGTTGTATTATTTTATTTGTTTTGGGCAGTGTGTCTGCCCGTATTAGGTTTTGAAAAACCGTGGAAAAAAAAATAAAAATAAAAATAAAATAAAATAAAATATTGTGATCATTTTATTTTTCAAACTCTCATTTTATACCAGCCCATTTCGAGTTTGAGGGGAAGCATGTTCTCTCTGCCAAGTTGTTAACCGGCGTTGCCGGCCCACTTGTTTCCGACCTTGTTGTTGAAGACCGGCAAAGTTCCAGCTTCTTGTTGACCGGCTTAGTTCCAGGTTGTTCTTGAGGGGGAGTATTGGAATTATTATCACGGAGCATATTCTCTCTGTCTTCACATTCCTTTCCCGGCGGCGTTCCGGCTTTTCCTGACTTAGTTCCGGCCATTTCCCTGCGTTGTTTCAGCCATTTTCCCCGGCGAGTTCCAATTTATTTTCCCCAGTCAATTTCTTGGCTTTGTTCCGGACACCTTCTCATCATCTTTTGAGTCGTTTCTTTGGCAAGTTGGATATTCGTGATATTCATGCTCCAACTTGAGAGGGAGTGTTGAAATATATAAATATTTCTATATAATCGTGTAGCAAAATCCTTCACCAATCAAGGTGATCCAACTATAAATATTTCTATATAACGACGGAGCAAAATTCTCTACCAATCACGGTGCCTCCTTTGACTATTGTACACCTTCCATATATTCTTATCTTTACCATGCCTATATATAGGCTCTTTGTACTTGAGCAATATACTGATCTAAACAAAAAAAATGTAGTCCTTAGTGGCTCTTTGTCCATGGATGTAGGCCTTAGTGCCAAACCATGTAAATCTCCGTGTTTTCTCTCTTCCCTTTTCCTATTTGCATTTCTTATTTCCGCATCCAAATTTAACAGTCCGCAACTTCAAAAAAAAAAATCAACCAGCCTAAACTCCATTAAAACTCAAGCTTCACAGCCTCTTTCATGAAACGAGAATAAGCAATCATGAAGAGTTTTCAACAGCAGGAAACACCACTTCATTTAATAACATTTCAACCAGATAATTTAACATTATACAGGATTTTAATTATAGTGAAAGGATATTACAAGAATCAAACCTCGTTTATATGATAAAGATCATATTCATTTGTGAAATACTTGTCTGTCTCCTGCCCCTTCACTAACAGCTCCGTCTCAATAGGACCAAGCATCCCAATCATGCGTGCAAGCAGCACAACAAGTGCGTCATTTGGGAAAAGCACCTGGTGGAAACATGGATGGTAAGGAGAAAATACGAAGTGAATTGTTCTGAAGGGAACTATTTTGCAAATGAGCATCTAATGGAACAAAATAGTACACAGATTCAAGGTATGTAGGATTTTCTAAATCAACCATCTACACCACTACTACTACTAACAATATGCCAAGCTGACTCGAATGAAAAAAATAAAGAAAACAAGAACATACTTCCCCAGAACATAGCTCAGCCAAGATACAGCCAAGAGACCAAAGGTCAATCTTCTGGTCATAGGGGAGGCCTAGGATGACTTCAGGAGCTCTGTAGGAACGAGATTGTACATATAGGCACAAGTTATCCGTCTGAAAGCAACTACTTCCAAGATCAATAACCTTTATCTCACATCTCCTGTAACTTTTGATAAGAATATTCTCAGGCTTTAGATCACAGTGTATAATACCCAAATAATGCAAGTACTCTAATGCCTCCAAACACTGCCGGGTTATGACCTGCAAAAAAAAAATCATAAACAGAACCCCATCAATGGTTCCTGCTAGCACTTTAGTATCCAATATATTCTTTTACCAGCAGAATCTGCATTTTTACTCAACAGCAACATAATACTGATCAAATAAATAAATAAAATAAAATTAGTACCCAATGCCGGTACCCCCATGAGGGATGCTGAGAGGAAAATATTGAAAATATACATAAGCTTTGAAATTATGATTGAATAAAATATAGAATTTACATTGCCATATTGTACAAACCTGCAGCCTGCTCAATGTAAAATAAGGCTCTCCACCAGATTCTTGATTGTATTTCTGAAACTCATATAAGTTTGCCCGGAGCAGTTCACTTACAATGAAAAGATGCTCCTGTAAAGTTTTTAACATGGGAAAAATATAAATTGTAATAATGAAAAACCGCAACAACTAAGACAATGGCATGATAATCACATAGCATGAATTGATTATGGTAACGTCAAACAGAAACAGTTATGTAACAATCAATAGTAACAATCATTTTTTAGGAAGTCCAAACTTCCCATAGTAAGACAATCACAAGGCTCCACATTTAGCTTTAGTAATACAAAGTTAGGACCACAGAGTCTCAAATTGAGCTTGAGTAAGAGACAAATAGGTAATTCTTGGCCACATGAAGCAATTTTTAAATAACAAATATGCTACTTTTAATATGTAGTCATAGTCATAAAGGACTGAATGAAAACTTTGCAAAGAACTGTGAACGTATAAAGGGAAGATCTTTATGTATCTCAATATATCGAATTATAATCAGATGGCCCACATTAGTGTCAATAGGTCTTTATCCCAAGAATCAATGGCGAAGGAATACCTGAAATTATTTGATAGAATCTGTTGGTTTACCAAATTGAATACTATAACATCATGTTAGGTCAATAGGACTTAGGTTGGCATATTTCGTGGATCAAAACTAGAGTCTTAAATTAGAATTTTAGAAGTTAGTTAGTGTAGAGTTAGACACCTCTAGGTCATGGGCAAATATGGAATTCAAGCTTCAACCAAAGATAAAATTGTAATCTTCAAGATCAAGGGTAAAAAGTTAAATTGACACAAATATCCACTCACCATTAATTAGAGGGTTCACGCATTAACCTTTTTAGATTTCATGATTTGATTTGGAGATCCCAATTGATATGCATCAAAAGTATTTTTGAAAATTTCTAAAGTTTTTTGAAGTAATGCATTCCTGAGCACTTTGATAGCTCCATTCCCAACTTGAAATCCATAAAGGACCAAGTATGGGGCAAAAATAAAATAAGGTTTTATCCACTATAGCAATAGATATACCAGACTGTCTCAAGGTTCTATCTTTACTACATGTTCCTATAGAGGTCCTGGAAAGCTCCAAGTCTGAGTTGATGGATTGGTTGGTCCCCTCTATTCACCTGACCAGAGCAATGTGAGTCATAGGCAGAGTTGGACTTTCCATTCATTCCCTTTCAGTCGGGGTCCGCTACAGGACTACGCTTGTTCCTGCCCGAGAATCTACAGCTTTTTGGCCATATCTTGCTAAGAAAACGAAGGTCAGACAGCATAAGATCAGCAGAAGTGGGCATGTATTGCAGCCATTGGTAGCTTGTGAACTTATCTAATGCTCAATCTCATGCATGAATTTCTCCCAACTCCATTGTCTTAGCAAGAATAATTCTTGATTCAGCTCGAGACTGGGATTAGACCAACTCTCGTTCACAAGGATAGCTTCCCCTGCCGTTCTGATTACCAGAAGAGTAACCGTTCCAGAAGGGGGCATTTCTCAAGTTGGTTATAATTTTTTTTTAGTTAAACTATGAGAGATATTGATCAAGGAATTTAATTCCAAGTTGGTCAAGGAATTTGTTTCCAAGTTAGTCAAGGTATTTATTTCCTAGTTGGACATGGAGAACGATTTTCCTTTTGATCAAAGAGAGGATTGTAGGAAAGATAAGAACAAAAACTTTCACTCTTGCATTCCCTTACACTCGTAACTAACCCTTTCTTTTTCATATCTTCTATATTCTTTTCTAGGAGGACTTGGATCCCCCCAAATTTCACCATATGAAGGGAACCCAAGCACCGTTAACAATGGCTTCTAAAAAGTAGAAGATGTTCCTCGATCAATCAAGCCACTTCAAAAGCTTGTTTCTTTTTTTAGATTAAAACACAAACTCCATTCTCTCTACAACTCTGGTTTATATATTTTCTTTAAGCATTCATCAATTGCATTAGATTGGTGTGTTAGATGTGTTGACATCATAACTGTTGTGGAGCTGATCTTAAAAATTCAACACCAACATACAATCAGTCAACTGGGATTGGAGTGGACAACCAGTTTAGAGGTCAGAATTACAATATAAGAAACAAATTGTTGGGGAGCAAAGTCTGTTGAAAGAGCGGACTGTAGCCTAGAGACTCTATGTAGGTTTGGTAGATTAGTTTGCGTCAACAGGTGACTAACGTTTTTGGGGTATGTGAACTTTAACTTGGTGTAATATCTCTTTTGATATTGGATTTTTTAATCTAACTGGACTAGGTCCCGTAATTTTTCCCATAGTGGTTTTCCTTGTGAAAATCTTAGTGTACATTGTTAATGCTTTATTCCACTTTATTTTATTTTTGATTAAATGGTTGTTATGACTAGCATGACAGATTCATTGATATTTGATATTTACTTTTAATTTAAGTTTTAATTTCGGTCATTTATTAAAATGCAAAATGTTGTTAAAATTGGATAAAACTATCAGAAAGATCTATTAACCCCCTTCACGTCTAGATCACAAACCTAATTCTCTATCAGAGACTAGGGTTCCCGTCCTTACCCCATCACATCATTTATCTTTTATTAATTACAGTCGACAATAATAGGCTGATCAAAGTACAGATGGAAGACATAAATCAATAAAATAAATCAAAAAGCTTCTTATGAAATCAATTTCAAGATGTTCAGAAACAAATGTCAGCTACATGCATATTATGGCCATAAGTTGCACAAGACAATGAATTAGAGAAACTAAACTAGTGTTGGTATCTTGAAGAAAAACTCCATATGTATTATTATTTTTAAGACATTTTACCGACTCCAACAGCCATTGTGATAAATAAGTTTAGTATTAAACTATAACCGGCTAACTCCCTAATACATAAATTCATTTAGTGCAGACCATACATTATGATCAGAAAGTTAACCTTAAAAAAGACCAGTAATACCTTATACGATCTGAAAAGCTAGAGAACAAATGGCAAAGATGGAATAGTTTTTCTTGAAAAAAATTATGGAAAGCTATATGAGAAAAATAAAAGAAAATAAAATGATGATATTGTTGCTAGATACAGCTATAAGGACAAATCTTGTGTAATTTAGCTACAATTATAAAGTCAAAAAATAGTAAGTGTTTAGAAGAATACTGCCTAAATTTGACTCACACAGACCTGATAATAGAAGTAATCATATAAACGCAAAATGTGGCGCTGATCACCCGGATCATTCTTGTTCACGAACTTTAGAAGTTTGATTTCATCTAAACTCTGATCAAAAAAATCCTTGTCATTCTTTATGATCTTCAAGCAAACGTCCATTCCAGTTTGCAGATCATGTGCCTGGACAACTTTGCTGAAAGCAGCCGAACCCAAGTATTCTGTGACACAATATCTGCCAGCAATGACGCTATTAATTACAATAGGCAGATCTTTGTTCTCTTCGAATCCAGTCCTGTGGATGGCATAACAAACTATTATAACACCTGCAATGCACAACCTTGCAACTTCTCTCAAAAGAGAGAATAAAAGAAAGAAAAGACCTAGCTGAAATAATATTTGTAAGTTTAACTTTCGTAAGTCAATATATTATCATCGCTTATTTAGGTGACAATCATTTCTAAATAATTTACTCACTCATTTGGCATCAAATGCCAAGATTTGAATGTAACAAAAAGTATCAAGAGTCATGTCCAACAGACCTGTTTTTTCTGTGTATAATTCTTAGATTAAATACTTCATATTCTTCATCATTCGTGATATTCATCAGAAAATCATCAACAGTAACACCCTCCTTTCCCACAGCAGCAGTGTCTAGCTCATTGGGATCTTCATCGGCTTCTCCACCATTTCCAACTTCATAGCCATCATTTTCATTTGATTGTAAATCTTCCTTGGCAAGCTTAATATGCGAATCAGAATTACATTTTCCAATCTCCCCGTACTGAAAATTATTTATATCATCAACTTTCAAATTCTTGAGACAGTAGTCATTGGAATCCCCACCAAGCCCTCCTGACCCCACACAGCATGGGCAAAGGACACCAGAGCAGCTATAAACAATGCAATCCTCTTTATCCATTCCATTACATCCCTGAACTTGAACTTTTTCATCCAAATGATAATAATCAGTGACATGAGCATCATTTACATCACCAATGGAGGAAACATTAAAAGACCACGGCTTGTCCAAGAATTTACTTCTCTCTACCGATTGAAAACCTTCTGGTATATGATTTGAACCCAATTGGTTATCGGTTTTCTTCTCTGTCCCTAAAGTCATGATAAACTTGTCCTCACTAGGGCAGCCACAAGAACCTGGCCCGCCAAAGTGGGAAGGCGTAATGTAGTCCTCATCTTTCTCACTGTACCAGTTCAGGTCATTATACATATCAAATTCATGGTAATCACGAGCTGTTCCAAATTCAGATAATCTCTCAGACGAAGCTTGAGAATTCACCCGGGTAGCAGCGCGAATTCCATACGGATTTGTGAACTCTTCAAAATAAAAGTAAGAGTACTCAAAACCATGCCCAACTTAATCCACAATATACCCGTTTAAAATAATAATAAATAAAATAAATAAATAAATAAAGAGAGGAAAAAGCACAGAAAAAAATGTAGAAAAACCTTGGAATTGGAATTGGATGAAATTTAACTCAAAATTTGAACTAATTTTTTTCCAGTTTCAAATCAAAGGCCCCAAATTCGTGTGCAACATTAGTGCTTAAGAAAAAAGAAATCAAAATAATCAAAATAAGACATGAATAGTACCACTAAATTGGGAATTTCATGTTGCTAAGTACTTGAAATATTGTCCATCCTAACTACTGGACAAAAGAATTTTACCGATTGAAAGAGACAGGAACAATCATCACGTACACACAAGCACAAATTGCATGTACTAACATAAAAACACACTAGAAAGTAACAACTCAATTCAGACCACCCAAGAAAGAAGGAAAAAATAATAATAATAAAAATAAAAAAACTCAACAAAACCAATAGATGAAGATTAAGTACGACTGGAAAATAAAAAAAAAAATATGTACCAGAAGAACACAGTTCGGTTGTGGAAGAACCCAAGCTCACAAACTCCTCAGAACAATCAGAGCTCGAATCAGCAACACCGTCGGTCGGTTCCAATCGGTGCCGCGTCGCCGGAATCTTGAGCGGCGGAGGGGGCGGGAACGCCGCCGGAAACAGAAACTTCTCGTAATCAAAAGCGCGCAGTTCGGACTTGTCGTAAATATCCTCCATCAGTGCAGATTCGGAGTCCGATAATCCATTCTTTCTGAGAAATTCCAACACGGCTTCGACGTCGGAGACCGCCATGAGTGGAGGAATTCAAAACACGAGTAGAAGTTGAAGGGTTGAAAAAGAATTCATGGGATAGGAGTGAAGAGAGGTGGTCAAAAGTGGAAATTAACCGTAGAGTTAGGGTTCGCATGCTGGTGTATAGAGAGAGAAAGAGAGAGATGTAGAGAGAGAGAGAGAGAGAGAGAAAGAGAGATGATAGAGAGAGAAAGGTGCCCCCTCCCCCACTGCTGTAAAACTGAAGCCAACGGGAAGGATCTCTTCCCACCAACTATGAAAAGTAGAGGGGGTTTGGTGTAGGAGGTTTTCTTGTCTATCAATGTGGGCCCTAGTCTCGAACAGTAAAAGTTGATTGACACGTGGATGTAAATCGTGCTAACAAGTTGATATTCGTTTCGATCTCGGACTAATGTTTTATTATTGATTATGTATATAGTATTCTCTGCTCAGAAATGAAGAACTTGTTGCCACGTTTGGAGATTATTTCCAATTTTTAACTGCTTTAATAGATTCCCAAACGCAGAGATAAATTCTCATTAATTTTGTATTCACATTGTATTTGTGAATCTGTGATAATTGCTGCGGGATAAATCAAAAAAACAATCAAAAAATTCATCATACTCTAACCAAAAAAATTATCTCCCTTTCTTTCTCTTCTTGCTAATTTTTAATATTGGAAAATATTTTGCGCAAAAAATAAATGTTCTTTGTCATAAAATGAAGATGAACGAAAATGTGTTAGAAAAGTATAACTAAAACCTCTATATGTAGAAAAGAAGAGAGAGAACGTCGGGTTAAAGAAAAACAGAGATAATCGCAACTTGTTTAAGGTGGAAATAAAGAGGGGATAGAGGGAGGATCTTTGTTTTTGGAAAATATGACGGAGAGATAACGACATTAAATGTCATTAGAGTATGATGAATTTTCCTTAATGCAAAAGGGTGTAGTTTTTAAACTTTGATAAATTTTTCTTATCTCAAATTGTATAGTTTTCAAACTTTCTTTAAATTAGTTGACATAATTTAATACCAGCAGCCGATAGATTTTAAATGTCACGTGTCAATCTGTAACAAATTTAACTTAGGATAACTTAAATAATATTTAACTTAAAGGATCCAAGTCCTCAAAATTAATACTAGATCCTAATTAACATAATCTGAAGCTGAGTAAAATCCGCAAAATTGTAATAGTCTGTTAAAAATGATTTGCATGTTACATTTTCGATTTAATAGAGATGGGATAATAATACATTCCAAATATTTAGAACTTAACTTATCATTATTGTTGTTGATTAAATAAGTTATTTTTATTTTTACAATTTTAAATACTATAATTTTATTCATCTCTACAGTTATTATGAATTATATTAGTATGAATATTCACAAATTTATTACGGAGTATTATTATTACTATAAAATCACTGATCCACATAGTTTGCAATTGATACTCTGTATCAAAAAATTTATGCACCATTCGTTACTTGAACAAACAATAATAACCAGTACACAGCTGGTGTTAGTATTGCGTTGGTAAAGAATGTTATTATTACCTTTTGCTTTTCTTTTCTTTTCTTTTTCTTTTCTTTTCTTGGATCAAACTTGATTGCAGTCAAAATGTTCAACAACCGTTACTGAGTGAAATTACTTTTCTGGTTCTGGCCATTATTATTATTATATATATATATATATACACAAATCAAAAGGGAATATCATATCTGTGTTGACAATGAGAGGGTCGTCCTCTTCTGAGGTACTTATTTTTCTTCCTCATAATCAACCTACCAGTCACATAATTATTATTATATTATATAAATTATGGTGGCATTTGAAATTACAATTTTCATTTATTTCAATACAAATGTTGTGAAGGTCTTTTTTTTTACCATCTTCACAATTAGACCAGTTGCCATAAGCTAACAATTTTTTAAACTGTGCAAATTGTTTCTCCTAATTTTAAAATGTTAGAAAGAAAAAAAAAATTTGTTAACTAGAGGAATGTTCCTAGTCTTTAGTGAAACTATTTTTTCAACTTTAAAACAGCTGAGTTTGTTTAACTTATAGACTTTTGATCAAGAATTCCACCCTGTTGAGGATAGTTATGTCATTTTATATATTAATTTTTTGGAATTATTACATCTAAATGGTGCTAATGATGCATATTTACAAGGGTAAAGTGCATTAAACCCCCTTGAACTATAAACCCCCCTGAACTATAAAAAAAACCCTTGAATTATGATTTTGTTGCAATTTACCCCATTGAACTATTGATCATTTGCAAGAAACCCCCCTGAACTACAAAAAAACCCCCCTGAACTATGATTTTGTTACAATTTACCCCCATGACATCAGCTTCCGAAACCGAAAATTTTGAAAGACCAGTTTACCCTTATAACACACTGCGTCGTTTTAACTTATACACTTCTTACATTTTTTTTTCCTACAAAAAGATGTTTTTCACCCAAAACAGAGAGCTAGAAAGAGAGAGAGAAGAGATCAAAGAAATCCAAGGTCGGCGGGATGGCTCGGTCTCGGATGATGGCGGCTTGTTCACGGAGGACTCGGCTGCGATGAGAGCTCGGTTGACTCGACTGTGAACTGTGGAGGCGACGGCGAGCTCAAGGGGGCTCGGCGGTGAACTGTGTGGACGGCTATGTGCTCGAAACACGGACGGCGGTGTGCTCAGCTATGGAGATGGCAGAATGGGCCAGCGAGCTTGGAACGGATGGTGGAATGGACCGACGAGTAAGGTGAGCTGAACGGTGGGCAAGGTGGTGACGACGATGGGCTGACACAATGGTGCAGAGAAGTGCGATATATATGACCGACGGATCTGGCGGGTGGTGCAACGGCTATAATAGAGCTATGACAAGAGACCCACCGATCCCAGCAACAGATTCCTTGACTTATCTAAACACTCCTCAGACGACATCTACCACTCCGATCCCAGCCACAAATTCCTCGGCTTCATCGTCCCTTTCAGTCAATCAATTCGCGTGGATGGGGTAAACTACAAAAAAATATATAGTTCAGGGGGGTTTCTTGCACTACCCCAATAGTTCAGGGAGGTTTTTTTGCAACTTTTATAGTTTAAGGGGGTTTCTTGCACATACCCCAATAGTTCAGGGAGGTTTTTTGCAACTTTTATAGTTTAGGGAGGTTTCTTACACATACCCCAATAGTTCAGGGGGGTTTAATGCACTTTACCCTATTTACAATTTATTGGAGTCAAATTCTAATACTTTCGAAAAAATAAAGACATGGAAAAATATTGTTTACCTCACATATGTATCACTTTTTGTGCATGCATGTATTATTTTTTGTCATTAGGTACCACTTTTTATTTTGCACAAAAAAGTGGTTCCCGATACACAAAAAGTGGTACTTATATGAATAAAAGTGATCCATTTATACCCAAAACAAAAGTGGTACTTGATGCACAAAAATTGGTACCTATGTGCCTAAAAGTGGTACCTCAGTGAGGGTAAAACGGTGTTTTTCATGTCCACGACAGCATTTTGGTTAACTACATTTTTTCGAAACTATAAAACTTTGACTCCATTAAATGGTAAATATGGGTCATTAGCATCATTTATATGTAATAATCCCTAACTTTTTATTGTAATTTTTTTACGATATTAGCCGCATAGAATTGAAACTTTGGAATTAGTGAAATTTGAGAAAAATTTAATTCAATTTTTTTATAACTTTGAACTAAAAGTATTATACAATTATACTAACTCCATTTTCAAATTTTCAATTTTATAAAACGTTTGAAAGCATCAAATGAAAGTTTTGAACTTGGAATTGGAGATAATTTAACAAATTTAATGCTCTCAAACACAGTAAAAACATTTAATATAGTATAGAATTTATAGTTTCAATTCATGCAAGTAACTCTAAAATGCACATTCTTGCTCTTTATGTAAATCTTTTGTGACTTTTCATCAAATTTATTTTCTATGGACTAATGAAGCGGAGCTTGATATAATTTGGGCTCAATTTGCCTTGTTCATTTTCAAGGCTCAATTCAAATTTATTTCTTTTTAAATACTACTATATTTCTTATTTTTAAAATCTATAAATGGGTATGAAATTAAAAATAATAAATAAAAAAAACCTATTAAACATGTGTTCTTGAGCTGAACCAACCATTACTTAAAACAAAGCATAAATGGAATAGATTTTGTTTGGAGTGAGACCATTCTAAAAACTAATCAAACCCAAGCTACCTACTGATTGTCATATCAGTTTGTTTTTTAATTATTGAAAAGTATTGTCATTTCAGTTCATTACAAAACCTTATCTTTGGTAGTTTAAATATTTATATATTGCCATTTGCTAAGACCACAAATTGTTTGGTATTTAAGGCCCTGTTTGATTGGAGGGCAGTGCAAGAAAAAGGTAACGAAGGGAAATGGAATATTATGTTTGGTAGGAATTATTAAAAGAAAAGAAAGAAAATGGATACAGAATAATATAAATTAGAAAATGGATACAGAATAATATAAATTAGGTATGATGTGTTGGTTTTGTTATATCCAAAAAAATAAAATAAAAATAGAAGGAAATAATATTAATTTTACTGAAACTTTGTTAATACCAAATTGCCCCTATTTATAAATAAAAAATTAAAAATATATATATGAAAAAGGTATGACAGTAAATTTATTAAAACAATTTTATTTCATTTATTTCCCCAAATATTATTGATATCGGTTGGGGGGGGATATTCGCATTCCATTTTTCCATACACTCCACTTGACTTTTTCTTCTAAACAAAATGACAAAAAAGTCCATAAACTCGTTAATGCATTCTCGATTTTTTAATACCATGACTACCCTTTATATTATAATCTTCAACTTTCCTATTTTTCTTTTAAAAAAAAAAAGAACAAACTTTTTTTACTCCTTTAGTATTTTTTTTAGGTTCGGTCAAAAGAGGGAATTTATTCAATGTAGACAACTTTTTTTTGGGTTTTGTCAAAAGAGATAATTTATTCAACAAAGATAAATTTTTCATAAGTCCTGTCAAAAGATAATTTATTTAACTGAAATAAATTTTTTTTTTTAGGTTTTTTTTTTTCTTTTTGTACTATACCTTATTCTTTTTAAACATGTCAAAAGAGAGAATTTATTCAAAACATAAAAAAATTTCAATAGAGGCAATTTATTTATTTATTTTTCGTCTTATCAAAATAAATAATTTATTCAAATAGAGATAACTTTTATATTGGATGGGCTTTCTGAGAATCAAATTCTTTTTGGAGGGGACTTGGATCCTC